CAACCACCTCTTAGCATGCCCCGCCAGAGAATAGAAGAAGAGGTGAAGGCAGATTGCATCATCAGGTATACCGTTCACCTTGAACCCGTTCGTCAGCTGCAGGAAACGGGAAAGATGCACCCTTGCCTCCTCATCCTTCAAGCCATGAAACTGGATAGAGGATGTAATGAGTTGAATCCAGCACGGCTTGATCTCGAAGTTGTTCGCTGGAATGGGCGGGTAGAGGATGACAGGGCAGATATCAGCAACCCGTGGAGTGTAGTAGTACTCCAAGGTGGGACCTGGTGGCGGTGGTGGTTGATGTTGAACCCCATCTACCTGGGGTATGGGGCTGTTTCCCAAGATCTGATTCACTGGGGGAACCTGGAGAGGTATCCCCTAGGGCGGGTTATGGTCTCCTTCCATGTCGTACTCCTCCTCGGACTCGCTGCTCAAGTGGCCATCTATGCGCTCCTCCGTAGCCAGTCTAGCTCGCTGTTGGCTCCAAAGTTGGCGACAGGTGCGTTCAAGCTCTGGATACAACGGCAGTAAACCTCCTGACTGGCTACGGGTCATGTACTACCTGCATATAGTCAAGCAACAAACCCGTGAACGCACAAGTGTGACAAAGCAAACAATGCTAAAAAGGAAAGCTAAATTAACAAAATTCACGTTTTATCAACAACCTAGCCGTCCCCGGCAACGGCGCCAAAAACTTGACTAGCTCCTACCGTCACTCTAGAAAATGGCCAAGTGTAACCACCTCCTAAAGGGTAGTATAGCGGGTTTGGGTTTTAATGTCAACCCGGGTCCTAGATGTGATGACTACTCCGTGAGTTCTTATTATTTAGCAGTGAAACTTTAGTGAAGGTCCAAACAAGCAAACAAGCAAGCAAGTAAAAAGGTCGTTTTCAAGTCGAGAGAGGTCACCCGGATATGGTTCCCCCTAGACTGCAGTTAAGCCGGATTGTAATTTACCAAGTTCAATTTCAATGATAGTTATACTGCGGGAGGTTCTTAAATAGTCTACAGTCTTGACTAAAGGTCTCCAGACCCTCTCAATCTGAGTCTCCAACAGGCGACTAACCTCCACCGGAGTAAACAGATTGAGGCCCTAACGAACCAAACCTCCACTACCAAAGTGAATTCGGTACAGAATAGTGAATTGACTCCTCGACTAAAGTCGTCAATTCACTACCTTCAATTAAGGGCTCTCTATCAACCTAGGCAGATATTTTCTTTCTAGGTTAAAGCAGAAACAACAGGAATTTGATCAGGATTCATGCCATTCAACAAATCAAACCTCAACTGAACATAATCATATCACTGAATCTGTACTTGGGTTCATTCAATCAGACCTAACATACAAATCTAGGGTTCTTCATACCCAGGTGAATAAGAAAGTTACTCCATAGAGAGAGATGGGAAATCTAGCTCAGATACGGAAACCATAAAGTGAAGGATGAGAATCTGCTTCTGGCACTCAATCAGGTCTTCTCCAAGCTCAAGTCGGGCTCCAATGGTGATGGAGATCGATCTATGACACTTGTAGGATCAGTTTCGTCACTTTCTCTCTCTAGGTATCGCTCTTTCTCTCTAAAACTCTGAACCCCTCTCTTTTACCCTTCTTTTCCCTTAAGAAGTTGTCAGTCGCGATCCCCGGCCTGAATAACCGATCGGGTATTTTGGGTGGCGACCGGGCATTTTCAAAACGCAGCTTCTGGAGACAGGGGAAAATCCCCGATCAAGGCCAAGAATCCCCGACCGGGGATTTTAGTGTCACGACCAGGCCCCCCTCTGCTTCTCAGACGCCCAAAAATCCTTTTCCCCGGTTTGCTCCAAATAATACCCGGCCGGGTATTTCTGCTCATGGCCAGGTATTTTGCTCCTCCAGCACACTTCGACCCAAACGTGCCTCTTTCGACCCGAAACTCGTTTCTTTGCCTCGATGCCAACGCTAAGTCCTGAAATATGACATAAACGCACAACCTAGCGTGAAATCGGCTTAAAACACGAGAATCAACATCTCAAACGGCTCAACAATAGGGGTAAAAACATGTGTAATTATTAGTCTATCAGTAGTCATACCCCGACACCGCTCTGGGTGTGGTCATATCTCGTAAAAATTCTTCAGTCACCACCACATGAGAGGTGTGACTATCATACATATCATAATAGAGTAATAGCATAGGGAGCCCTAATTACTATGTAGTTGACCGTGAGGCCAAAGTACTCTTACTTGATATCCTTATACATGATCCATATCTCATCTTGCTTAATCATAATTCATTACTTGGACATGTTCTTGACCTGGCCACAATTGGCTCAACATAACCAGGAGTCGTATAATTGCACTTCCTCAGGATAAACCCTCGTGCAAGTCATCCTCCTTAAACATCATAATATCACCATGAGATATATTTACCCACTTGTGCATCCAAATACAATAGTCATGAAAAATCATACCCAATCACCTTTTCGAATCATCATAAGGCATATCAACAGTCGAGCCTACAATTTGCAACATATACGAAATCATCAGCATAAACAAGGTCCATCTCGATCAGGGCAAGTCAATAATATCATACAACAGTCCAGAGTTCAACATATAGCACAAATTTTCATACACCCCTAATCATGGCATTCTAGTTTTCCTAGGTCAATTCTAAGCATCAAAATCGTGCTACGACAAACCCGGTATGCCATGCTAATCCCTCACCAGTTCTGGTCATTCAAACACCGGTTTTAGCCTCCCGTACTAAAGCGTCAATTTCATGAACGAACCTCGAACTAAAATTTGAGACCGTTCTAATATCCCCTGCAGTGTCCCCGTCAAAGTTAATGCAATGCTCCAGGTCAAATTCTCGATAAAACACATCAAACTCTAGTCGGAGCTCAATTCAGCGATTCCGGCTCCGACCTAAATAATAGCCGAAATTCATGGATTAGAACCAGAGGATTAATTACCTCGCTGCAAGAAACTCGTATATGAAATCTGGACTTAATACGTCCTCCGAATCCTCCAAACCTCCCAATTCCTTCGATCGAGAAAACTAAGAAATTTTTATCCGAAACTTAGATATAAGCCCGGAGATTGAACAACTAGGTTGGATAGAAGTGTACCTGTCGATTGTGTAATTTTCCTACAGCCAAAACCCTAGAAATTACCTTCGCTGAAATCTCCCGAACCTCCCATGCGCGCTCTGTATTTTGTTCCCTCGGACCGGAAATGGAAAAGATGACGATGGGAAAAGAAATGGACCAGGGGAGGATTGAATAAGAGCTCCCCACCGCTTTATAACTTTTTGTTTCTAATTTGATTTTTCCATCTTTATTAATTATATATATTATATATAATTAATACGTATACTTATCCGATCGCTTGCAACGGTCCATGTGTTAATTTCCAATAGCCATTGAGATTCCCAAATTTGTGCCCTTTGAGTTGTCCCCGAGGTACTTTGTGTAGGTTGAGTTATTACCTCGTGTGAAATGGTTTGCTTGGGGACAAGCAAACGTATAAGTGTGGGAGAGTGATTCGGGCCTAAATGTACACTTTTTATCCCCGTTTCTCTTTGGCGTCTGTGGCATTTGAGCTCCAAAAAGAGTGGTTTTATATTAGTTTTGTTGTGTTTCAAAGTCTAAAAGGTGGAACCAACCTCGGAGTCAAAATTTGGAAGAAAAGGCACGAGGATCGGGCAAAGAGGAGGTAGCAGTCGCAGTTCACGGTCATCAGGACCGTGAACTAGAGCCACAAACCGGGAACAGAATAGGATCCAGAGATTTTTCGAAGGTTAGTGATGCCGAGTCAGTTCACGGTCGTAAGACCGTGAACTGAAGCCATAGACTGCGAACTCGATAATTGACACGATGTGTTTTGGACTGTGTTCACGGTCCAGGCCATATGTTCACTGCCGTGAACTGGGCGCGATCAGTGTATAAAAAGAGAGCTGAAAGGAGGAAGAAGGGAGAGCCCAAAGTGATAGAAACCTTCTTCTTCTTGAAAACCTAGAGAGAGAAAGCCACAAACCGAGAGGGAGAAGAGGCTAGGGTTTGCTCCAATTCAAACTTTAGGAAGTTCCTCTTAAAGAGAGGATCTCTACAAGCACTAGGAGGGATTGAGGCATCACAATGATAGTTTTTTTTCGTTTTCCTTTGTGTTCTTCCTTTGTCTAGCATGGAGTAGTATCCCTTTTCACTTGGATGTTGTAGTACCCTAACTTCTACCATGTAGTTGATTGTGTGGATTGAATGATTGTGTGTGGGTGGTGTTTAATTTAAGTTTTGAGGTATTTTTCATGGTGATTGTGCATTGTGTGTGCTTGGCAATCTATTGTGCTATTCTAACCTAGCTTAGAGGGAAACCCCCTTATCTTAAGAGGCTCAAACTGAGATGGGTTTTCTTGGGCATTCCATGCCTCCTATCTAGGTTAATGTAGGGCAAACCTCTTAACTCGAATTGAACACCTAGGTAAATTGTGATTAAGCAGTCCAAACCCCAATTTGAGGGAGAAGGTAAGTCAACCCTTGATTGCTTGGGCCAAGAGGGCTACAATTGTAGCCTATAATGCATTCCTTGGCCTAGCGATTGAGAGTGTGGTTTCCAACCACTGTTGCTCCTCCTAACGGTTCGCAATCACCTTGTCGCACACCGATTCATTCGATCCCACGATTCATGGTAGTTTGTTAGGGGGGAACAACTCGCGAGTGAAGCTTCTCACCAAGAGTTTCATTCCTTTACTTTTCAAGTCTTGCATTTTTAAACTTAGATTGTAGAGATTTTGACAAACTTCATTCCTCTAGATAATGTTTCAAACAATCGAAGTAGGGATACATGGGTCGGCCCGGGTTGATATTTAAACAAACCCTATATTGCACCCATCAGGGTTTATACTTGGGCCTTAGGTGGGATTTAAGTGTGATATTCGGGACGAGTCAATTTCATATTTAATTATTTTTATTATATTTTGATACTTAATTTAAATTTTATAAATAGAGGATAACTTTAAAATCATAGACAAAATATCATTGCTTCAATATTACTTATCTAATTGCAATATCGAATTTGTATTAGTTTATAGAACTACTATGAGGCAATCATATTCATATCTTTCTACAAACTATATGGGGACGGGTTTTTTGAACTTTTTAGTTCGGCTAACCGTTAAGTTTTAAACATCTTCCTATCCAACAAAAATGATTGGATCCAAAAATCATTATACTAGGTTGAGTTTAATAGGTTGGTTGATTTCATTTTTTTATGTATTTAATGAATTTGTAGAGCAATGACATGTCTACATATACACTCTACACAATATATACTACTGACATGATAAAATTGTCGTCCCATTTAAAATTTTCTACAACGCGATCAAAAGTATGAATGACATTGTTTTCTTCACCATTATTTATCTTTATATTGTATGTAAAATAGACAAGTATTGTGATTTGAACTAATGTATCTTCAACAACAGACAAGAGTCATTACTACCATGATAGTTAATTCGAGTTTGAATCTGCTGGTCGAACAAATTCTACCTAAACCTGAGTATCTCAGCGGGTGTCGAATGCCCAGTTGGTTGTGTACTCGGGCTCGATCAAACCCATGAAACCCAATCAAATCGGAAAAATCCGCCCGATTTAACCAACTGATTTGTGCACCGGGCCACTTCAAAATGATGTTGTTTTCAACAATTTGTATACCTAGCTACGTTATCATATCATCAGTTTGCTTATCACAGAACCCTTCAACGTGGAACATCACAAACAATGTTCGACTATCCTATCGTCTCTTCTTCTTGCATTAGATTCGAGAGCCTATAAAGACTCAACCATCTCAAAAGCCATCATAATCCCGCAATAGTAAATTTAATTCTTAAATTAGTATTAATTTTCAGACCTACAATCATATTCATATATTTGTGTAAACTATATGGGACTGGTTCTTTGAACATTTTAGTTTGGCTAACCATAAAATTTTAAACCTCTTCCTATTCTGACATGATTGGATCCAACAATCATTAGAAGTTTAATAAGTTGGTTCATTTCACCTATTTTTAATGTGCTAATGAATTTGTAGGGAAACGACATGTCTTTATATACACTCTACACAATATGTAATATTGAAATGAGAAAATTGTTGTCTCCTTTTAAATTTCCTACAACAAGAGCGAAAGTAGGAATGCTATTTTTGCTTCACAATTCTTTTACAGAAACTACCAACTTCCAAAACCCATAAATTGTAGCTCAAAGTAAAAATCAGAGGATCGAAAATCAAAGTTCACAAGTGTTATTTCATATATCAATTATTTGAGAGATTTTTCTCTCTATAAACAAAGTAAAATGAAACAAATTATAGCCAAATCAACAACTTTGGCTCGAAGACGATGACCGGCTTCTTTGTGGGAGATAGGAATACATGTGGTGGCATCAGAGATCTGGAGAGCAAAGATGAAAAGGATACATGTGGCACGAGATCTAGAAAGTTGTTGAAGATTTGGATGAGAAATAAAAAAGCTTCCTACTTCCGAAGATTCACCCCAAGTTCGTGAACGCGGACTGAGAAATGTATCATCAAATCATGGGCTTGGACTAAATAAAAGAATAGGAGGTTAGTTAGATGGCCGATTATATAAAATTTGCCAATTTGATACATCTACAGGAGATCTCTAGTGTCGGCTTACGAAACAAAGAATCGAAGGGGAAGGGGAAGAAAAAGGTATAGACTTTTTTATTAACAAGTAATAGAGTGCATCGGGTGGATAGGCGATGCATTCAATTCTATTTTCTTTTAAATAAAATAAAAGTAAAAAATTCAATAAAAAACTAAAAACTGTATGGTAAACTTTGGTGGGTTTCTATTCAACTTTTGAAATATGTTTCTTTTTCTGGCCTAATCAGATTATTTAAAGCTATCATTCTACTAAAATAATGTTATTTTTATTTTTTCGCTGCATTGTTGAAATATTTTGACCAAAACATGTTAGTCAGTATAAATGATATATTAATTAAATTAATATAATATTCACACTCCTTCGACACACTCAAATTATAATTCTCAAAGAATATACGCATTTACTCTCCCGTTTTGGCTCCCGCTTCACGAATTGGTAAGTTAAATACGTCGAGTCAATTTTGTAGACAAAGAGACTACTAGCAGAACTCGCCTTCCATCACATGTTGCCTTCCTCGCAAACACCTCCACATTCAATTCCCACTTGGTCGTTCCTCAATATTTCCACATCTGACACACACCGCCACCATAAGAGTGCAACCTTGATCACGTAATGAATACATGTTCTGGGAGTGCTTTTTAGGAGCTCGAAGGAGGATAGTGGAAAGCAACATATTGAGAAACAAATTTAGATAGTCCGGGCGACGAAGAATATTATCAATATGTAGATGGGATTTTATATAATTTATAAATATATGAACAATATAATGACTTTTTCGTAAATCCGGGCAAAAGCGGATTAAAACGATTGGACCATTAACCCTCAACCCACTTAATCGACCAGGCCAACAGGCTAAATCGGGTTGACAAACTTTGATACTTTCAAATTCATATATTCTAAAAAAATTGGTTTCCAATTTTGATGATTGAGTCCATTCGATCAATAATTGAGGACTTTCAGACAGTGGTTGAAATTCAAAAGTCAGTCTTCAAGGTTCTTTCATAACAGACAAGTTTTTGTATTTATTTATTGCTGGGTCGAAGGACGATGGGATTGTGGCTATTAATTATTGGGAGTAGCATATGGAGAATATAAGCCATAAAATGGGGGTAATTTTAATTTGTTAATACGTATATACTATATAGTACGAGAGCATGTTTGTTGTGAAAAATAGTAGAGAGGTAGATTTGAAAAAAATGAATAATAGAATAACAATTTATGCTATTAACTTCACATAAAAAGTCAAAGATCATATTGATACTGTAGAATTTAAGGGTTTATAATATTTATATTTTCTTAACTTTTGTACGTGCATTAGTATCTAACACTTAACAACTGTTGTCCCAACTTTACTTTTGAAGAGAGTAGTAATAAAACAAGTGGGGAAGCTCTCTCTCTCTCTCTCTCTCTCTCTCTCTCTCTCTCTTGACGGTTCACCGCCTCTGGCGTTTGAGCGGATCGTTTGCCGCCTGATCTGCGGCGATCGATTGTTGTTTCCGGCGTCTGCGTCGGCCGCCGTTCTGCTACACTTTTCGGTACTGATTTTGCATTTCGTCAAGAATGAGCTCGTTGCCGAGTCGTTCGTGGGCAGAGCTTTTCAGCAACGCAGAGGAGAATCACTTGGTGTACGTGAAGCCTGAAATTGTGGATGGGGGTTTACTTATCTCTGCGGAATTGGAAGAGGAGGGCATTGCAAGGTGGAAGCACTGCCTGGTAGGCCAAATCCTTTCTTCTTCTCCTCACATTCGACAAGTTCAATCTTGGCCAGATCTTCTTTGGGGCAAGAAGGGGTCAATTAGGGTTTCGTGGCTGGTTGAGAGGTTGTTGCTTTTTCAATTTCCAACTGCTGAAACTGCTCACTGGGTGTTCTCGACTGGTCCTTGGCATCTGAAGAATGACATGTGTTATCTGAGGAAGTGGGAGCCAGGAATTAGGGTAGAACAACCAAGGCAGACGATTCCTATATGGGTGCATTTTCTATATCTACTCTTGAGCATGGCACAGGTCGTATCCTTACGAGGCTAGCTAGTATGATTGGCAAGCCTCTCTGGTTTGATAAGTCCACTCGACTAGGCCAATGATTGGGGTATCCTCGTGTTTGTGTTGAGATGGCGGTGGACTCGGAGTTCCCGGACTTTCTGCGTTTTGTTCCTGATCTAAGGCATGCGTATAATGTGCATTTTGATTCTGCAATAAACCAAAAATCTGTGCTAAATTCTGCATGTTTGGGCACAATTGTATGAAGGAGAGTATGCAGAAGGTTCAGGGGGCGAGGCAGGAGGTTCAGGATATGGATCAAGTTGTTGAGGTTGGGCAGCAGGAGTTAGGGGTTTTTGTTGAGATCCCCAAGAGCAAAGTGAAGTTCTAGGCACTCATGATGAGGCAGTGGCTGGCTTGTCTCAGGAGGTTCCTCAGTCTGCTGGTGTTGAAGGAATTACCTCTGATCAAGAAGGTTTACAGATAGTCGTGGGGAATATTGTTTCTTCTTTAACTGAGGGTTCCACTTCTTGGCAGGGGTGTGGTTTACCATCCGAGATGGAGTTTCATCAAGCTGTTGAAGCAAATGAGACAGTTCAAAACTCATTTGGGGTACTATCTTCTCTAACTCAGTTTGAGGTTGGTGAGTTAGTGGTTTCTCCCTTGAAGGATCCAGTCCATTTCCCTGAACTAGGGAAGGAGGGGTTACAAAAGAGAAGGGTAAGCCTGGTAGGCCTCCAAAGGGGTAAAACACTCTACTAAATAATGAATGTGTTAGTTTGGAATATGCGGGGATTCAATAGCCCTTCAAAGCAAGACAATATAGCGGAGTTGATCCGCAAACATCAGGTGGAGTTAGTAGCTATTTTGGAGTCTAGAGTTAGTTCAGATAAAGTAGAGAAAACCATAGATGAAAAATTCCCTGGATGGGAACATAGAGAGACTTATTCAGCTGTTGGTGTAGGAAGAATTTGGGTTCTTTGGAAAAAGGAGCTGACATTTAGTGTCGTGGAGAGTGGCAACAATTTTGCTCATGGTATTCTTAGGGAAGGGGCTCAAACTCAGATAACTTTTGTATATGGTTCAAATGATGTTGTAGAAAGGAGACAGACGTATCAGGACATTGCTAGGAAGGTAGACTTATCGATTCCTTGGCTAGTGGCTGGTGATTTTAACGCGATTGTAGACAGTACTGAATCAACGAGCTATAGCTGATTGAACACAAAGTTATGGGTCCTTGGTTTACCTATTCCAATAAACAACCTGAAAACCCAATAGCTAAAAGGCTGGATAGGGCTCTTGTTACAGAAAGGTGGCTGGGGGCTCATCCAAGGAGTTCAGTAAGGGTCCTTCTGCCAGGGCTCTCGGATCACTGTGGATTACTTATCAGTGTGGACTCAAGTATTCAAACTTTGCGAGGCATAAAAGCTCGTCTGAAGGGTCTTAACAAGGAGTGTTATTCTGAAATCCATGACAGAGTCCTAAAAGCTAAGGAAGAACTTGCTCGGGTGTAGCAAGAAGTGTTGGAGCGCCCTGCCTCCTCAGCTTTCCAGGCTGAGAAGAGGTGCATGGTCCATCTTCTTGAGCTCCAAAGGCTGAGGAGTCTTTTCTTAAGCGGAAGTCAAAGCAACAATGGGGATACAAACTCATGTTTTTTCCATAGTATGATGAAACAAGGCAGGCAAAAAATACTGTTAAGCAGCTAGTTACAGAGGAAGGGCTTGTACTGGAGAACATAGAGGAGATTGGCCTAGAAGCAATAAACTTCTACAAAAAGTTACTGGGTACTCAGGACTTAAACTTGAGAAGAGCTTCGGTGGACACGATAAGGAAGCTATTGAAGTTTCATTTGGCAGATGGTGGGGAGGAATTATGTTCTATGGTCACAAGTGATGAGGTGAAGAAAGTGGTAATGGGAATGAAGAATGGGAAAGCTCCTGGGCCTGATGGGTATCCAGCAGAGTTTTTCCAAACTCATTGGGACCTGGTTGGGGAGATTTTCACCAAGGCTGTTTAGGAATTCTTTCATTCTGGTAAAATGCGAAAGGAGATCAACTGCACTATTTTAGCCCTCATTCCAAAGGTATCAAACTCTAATTCTATGAAGAATTTTAGGCCTATCTCCTGTTGTAACTTTGTCTATAAGTGCATCTCTAAGATACTAGCTAATAGACTTCAATCAGTCTTGGCTCAGCTTATAAGTCCTAACCAATCTGCTTTTATTAGAGGAAGGCTTATTACAGACAATATAGTGCTAGCACATGAAATGGTGAAATGGTATAACAGGAAGAATGTCTCTACTAGGTGTGCTCTGAAAATAGACATAATGAAGGCTTTTGATAGTGTTGATTGGGATTTTTTTTCTTTGTACTCTGGCTGCCATGGGAATCCCAGGAAAGTTTGTGAATTGGGTGAAGGGTTGCTTAGACTCTACTAGTTTCTCTTTTTTCATTAATGGGGGATTAACAGGTCTGTTTGAAGCTAGGAAGGGGCTGAGGCAGGGGTGTCCACTCTCGCCCTACTTATTTACTATTAGCATGGAAGTGCTTAGTTGTATGCTAAATAGGGAAGCTGCTCGTGCCATCTTGACCTATCATCCTCAGTGTAGGAGAATCAGCTTAACACACCTGTGTTTTGCTGATGACCTCTTGAGCTTTACCAATGGGTCTGTGGAGGGGGTTTCAGTGGTTGCAAAGGTGCTCCACAAGTTTTATCTAGTTTCAGGATTAAGATGTAATCCAAGTAAGAGTGAAATCTTTAGTGCTGGAGTCTCTGAGAATCTGAAAGAGGAGCTGTTTTCGTGTGCTAGGTTTAAGGAAGGTAGATTACCTGTTAGATACCTTGGTTTGCCTCTGAATGCAGGGAAGCTCTCTTCTGGGACTGTAAAAATCTGGTAGACAGAATTGCAGGGAGGATCATGGGTTGGCATCCAAGACTTCTGACATATGCATGGAAACTTGAGCTTGTCATCTCAGTGCTGGCAAGCATGATTCAGTATTGGATGAATGTCATCCTCCTGCCTAAGAAGGTGATCAAGCAAATCGAAAACCTCTACTCACAGTTTCTCTAGAGTGATTTTGAAAAAAAAAAAATCAAAGTTTCATGGAAGATAGTGGCCCTACCCAAAGATGAAGGTGGTATGGGTTTCAAGGATCTGTGCTCCTGGAATAAAGCCTGTCTTACTCGACATATTTGACGCATACTATCTGATATGGATATGCTTTGGATAGCTTGGATAAAGGAGTATCGCCTTCCAACATGAGTATATGGGAGGTGAAAACTCGTGGGTCCTTGGTGTGGAATAAAATTCTCATGCTGAGAGATGATGCAGCTGGGAAACTATGTAGAACTAGCAGAGGAGTAGAGTGAGAAGGTGAGCAGATGGACAGATTCAGGATTAGTAGAGTTTGGCAAAGCTTCAGGCCGCGAGGAGATAATGTGGGGTGGTCTAAATTGGTTTGGAAAAGAGGTATTCCCAAGAATTCTACCTTTACTTGGTTGATCCTATTGGGACACATTTTCACTATGGATGTTGTGCAACGCTAGAATCCTGAGGTGACAGGTTCTTGCCCTTTTTGTAGTTAAGAGTTAGAGACTAAAAGTCATCTCTTTTTTCAGTGTCCCTATATGCAGGAAGTGTGGAGCACTATCTTCCCCCTCCCATGGCGGATTCCGATTCCTAGTGACTTGCAGCAGTCCGTGGGTTTAGCTACTAGACACCTCAGCAAGTGCTTGATGGGCAGAACCCTCTGGTGCCTAGTACTGAGTGAGATCTGGCGTGAAAGACGCATGAGAGTCTTTGGTGGGAAGCATTTAATGGTGGCAGAACTCGTCAAACGAACGCAGGGAGTGATGGAATCTAAAGAAGTAGGAGACTCAAAGTTTGCTGACTCGGCTCTGATCCGCTCATTGTGGTACAAAGTGTAGCCTGTTGTAGTTGTTCTCTGCTTCTGGTATAGTGTGTAGTTGTGTTGTAGTTGTGCTGCAGAGACTTTCTTTTTTCTTTTCTTCTGCTTGTAGTATAGCGTGGAGGTGGGTTGCGGTTGTTCTGGTTGAATTTGTACAGATCGTATTTGATGAATAAAGATTCACCCATTCATCGGAAAAAAAAACACTTAACAACCCCACTTATTATTCAAACAAGCCTATACACTAGATTTTAATAATTTATACAATAAGCCTTATTTTTTTAGTTTTCTTCCATATTTGAGATTTCTAGGCATTATCTTTTCGTTATTCTCTTGATTGTTTAATATACATTCAATTCCTACCAATTTTAGATGACATATATTTCCTTCCAACTCCAAAATTCATACGCGACAATAAAAAGTCCACAAATTTCTCTATGATATGAAAAAATACACAACAGTACACTAGTACGACTTGATAATAAAATATATATTAACTAATTATAGCTAATGTCATTATCAACAAATACCATAAAGAACAACACGCAACCAAATGCGACAGTCGACGGCTAGTCGAATTGCCGATGAAAGGGTCGTTTGTGCCACTAAATTGGCAGCCCTGTTGTACCTCCGAGGGGTAAAAGTACAATAAAAAAAAAACTAAAAAACCACATCAGCCTAATCTCCTCTTGTATTGCTCCGCCCATCCCGTGATCCACCTCCCATTCCTGAACGCCTCAGACCAAAGATTGGCAATCCCCACAAAAATTGATAACAAGAAAGTTATGTGTTAGGCACCACTACATTGCATCCCACAAAGCTAGCAATTCCATAAAAATGGATCTGTCAAACCTGTATAGTATTTCCCAAAAGAAAACACCAAGTCACCATCCACTGAGAAACATTTGAAGCCAATAGCACCACTGTGGTCCTTTCTCCAAGCACCATCAAACCGAACAAGGATACCCGTTTTAGACAAGTGCCTGACGTCTCCCGCCCTGTCGTCCTGCCATTGTCGGTGAAGGTATCAGTGTCGAGTATAGATCCACTGTGTAAGGCCATTGGAGTAGTTGCGGCCCGCCATTCATCCTCTTGTGACTGAAGTTGGCGCAAGAGAGTAGGGGCCATGTACTGTATACCTTTATGAACAGTCCAACACCTGGATTTTCAAAGCCTCCACAAAAGAAAAAACACTTTAGCATAATTAGTGCCACCGAATCCGCTGTAAAGAGCACCTGCAACACATCAAGGCGCCAACAATAATTGATAGGACAGATGAATTCCGAGACAAAAGTAACAGTACAATGTACACCCGGAAGCAAAGAAGGAGAGAATGGAGGAGAAGAAGGCAGCCACTTATCTGATAACACCTGAACAGCAGTGCCTGATCCGATTCTCCACCGCAGACCCCGGGCAAGCATATCTCTACCTTCAAGAATGCCTTACCATGCCCAGGATGGCCGCACACCCACTCTGGGCGAGAGTACTGACGTGTCAGGATAATATTGGGCCTTGTAGAGAGTAGCCAAAGTCGCGAAAACCTAACCCGCCCTCAAACTTGCCGTGATAAATCTCAGGCCACGAAACCCAATGTAAACCATCCTGTCTTGATCAGCCCACTCAAAGCGGGAGAGTTGGCCATTCAACCTGCGATAACTACAAGAAGGAATACGAAAAGCAGACATTGCATAAATGGAAGAAGCCGACCCGATTGACTTCATTACCGTCTCCTTGGCACAGACATGGCTTTGCCCTTTCATGAACGAATCCTAGTAGCGAGTCCTTCCTCCAGAAAGAGAAAGGTGGGAGATTTAGACACATTAGCACTAACAAAAAAATGGAAGATTTATGTAAATTGACCCTTTGCCCACTCACAGTCCCATACTCCTCAAACACAGGCAGTAAATGTGAACATTCAAGAACCGAGGCTCGCAAAAACAAATAAGTATCATCTGCAGAAAAAAAAAAGTGTGAAGTGATAGGTGCCCGACGATGAACCCTAAGCCCATGAAGAGAATTATCATTGATTTCGCGAGACAATTATGTTGAAAAGGCCTCAGTGTATATAGCAAAGAGTAAAGGAGAGAGAGGGTCACCTTTCCGAATACCACATTCTTGTTTAAAGTAACCATAAGCATTGTCGTTGATGATGACTAAAAAGCTTACTATAAAAATGCATGCTTGAATCCAATGAATCCAGATCGAACAAAATTCCAATTCCTGCAAATACCCAAAAGAAAGGGCCAATCAACACGATCTTAAGATTTTTCCATATCGAGATTTAAGGCCATCCATTTATCCCGCCCTTGTACCTTAGTCTTTAGAAATTGTATTACCTCCTGACCATTCAGAATGTTATCCATAATGGACCGCCCACGCACAAAATCATTTAGGTGAAGACTTGCAAGATTGGGCAAAATTGTACTTAGCCTACCACAAGAATCTTAGCAATAATCTTATAAAATACCCGGCAGAGACTAATCGGTCGAAGCTATCGCATAGTGTCAGCGTTTGGCACCTTAGTTAAGAGAGAAATCCATGTATGATTAAAATTGTGAAGCAACCTTCCTAAGGTGAAGAAAAAGTATGAATTGCTGCACTAATATAAGAGCCAGTTAAGCCCCAGTGCCCCTGAAAAAACGCAGCAGTGAATCCATCGGAACTGGGTGGTTGATAGGTGCTGCCAATACTGAAAATGCATGCTTAATCTCCGATGTCGCAACCTCAGCTGTCAAGAATGCATTCATGTTTACAGTTACCTTCCGTGGCATCCCAAGATGATGGAGGTAAGGCATTGGGTCAATGTTATTTGACTTAAACTGCAACTAGAAATAAGGAACTGCAACTCCCGCCATGCTGGCAACATCATGATACAAGATACCATCATCTTCTTGTAGTCCCTCAAGACGATTACTCCTTCGCCGCTAAAGCATGGTAAGGTGGAAATACCTTGTATTGGCATCCCCAGTTTGTAACCATTGAACACGAGACTTCTGCTTCCAAAACAATTCCTCCTATTTATGTGCATCCGAAAGCTAATTCTCAAGTTGCTTGATCAAATTCCAATAAACCATCTCAGCCTCTCTTGCTTCTTCAATGGCCGCCTTGAATTCATGGATTTGCCGAGCATATTTGGGCGTACCAATCTGCGCCCAATCAACCAGATCATGTCGCACCAGCTGAAAATGATTGAAGACACGGAATTGAAGAGTCCCATGTAGCTCCTACTGCCATGCCAATGTAATGAGCTCAAGCGCCTCGGAGTTGGTATTCTATAATGAAACCGAGTACGTGTATGACAGACATGATTCGTGAGTCACAACAACAACATTCGATGATCAGACCCCAAGTCAGTTAAGTGGATTACCTTCAGATCCGGCCACATAGAGAGCGTTGTAGCAATCTTGAGACACCGATCCAGGAGTTCCATAAAATGGTCAGAAGTCGATCTCCTGTTCGACCATGTAAAGGGGGACCCATGGTAGCCTAAATCGATAACACACATACCATTCAAAAAGCCATTAAGCTTATCCAAAGATGCTAGAGAAGGCAGATTACCACCGACCTTTTCACCTGAAGTTAAAAAAACAATTGAAGTCTCCAATTACAAACATAGGTAACAAGATCGAATAAAGGAAATGGATAATTGTATTAAACTGAACCTGACCCACAACATAATTGTACATTCCAAAAAATAAATTAAAGCATCAATAAAATGCACTATACAGGTGAGCGAAGGTGCCCAAGCTATAGCTAAACTACCATTGCCACTAGAGGAGCTATGACATCGCACATCTTTAAACCCCTAAGCTAACAAACTTTGCACGGACAAACTCATCATCCCTTCTAGTCTCACTAAGACACACAATACTTGGATAGAAACAAGCTACAGCCCCTCCTAAAGTTGGAACCGTCAAGGAGGAGCCTAAACCCGACAGTTCCATGCCAGGACACTCGTTGATCAATTTGGGACTAGTCTGGGCTAGTTTCCTCCACCCTATCAGTTGCCGCCAAGACTTGGGTGTTTGAAGACGAGCACGCTTTGTTGTTGGGGAAGAGGACTTAGCGGCAACCCCCTCATTCTTCATGCTTACATCCGCCAGCCTAGATGAGAAGGCACCGAGACCTGGTGACACCATATGTTGTCCACCCAAAGTTGAAGATTCTAGGCTTAGAGTTTGCAGCCGATCTCCCACCATCCCTACCCGGGGTCTATTAGTATCCTCGCATGGAGCCATGCCACTCGAACCCGCCAGTGCCTAAATATCTCGTTTCCCAACTTGTGAAGACTTTTCCAGGAAACCCCTAGCCCCTCTCGGCAGAAGTTGTGGCGATTGGTGGTCCTGATTCGTTAAAGAAGGAGAGCTGGCCATAGCTTGGCGGTGCAGCCGATAGTTCCTCCTTATGGGGACAAGCAACTCCAATATGCCCTATGATACCACATAGAAAGCAGAATTGAGGAACACGCACAAATTTGACTTTGGCCACAAAGTTACCTTTGTTGGGTTCAACGTGTCCCGCTGTGATGTCATCCGGTAGTGGCATTGCCAAATCAAGCATCAGTTCAGCCATCATGTATAACCCGCATGTCATCGCCGATCGATGAAGAGTGGGGGTGGAGGTTTCTCCAGACCCGAACCCAGTCGAAAGGCCAAATTCTTGGTGCAGCACGACATCGGCACACCCAAAATATGAGCTTCCAATGAAGCCCAGCGAAGTGCATCCTCCACCGATAGTGAAGGTTCCACCCAAGCCCGCACATGCAAAAGATATTTGGGGAAGATCCAAGGAGAGCCTGTCTCTGCATAGTGCAAGTCGTCTTTGTTAGATGAAATGACCAGCGTAAGCCCAAAGTCCAGCGGAGAAAGGGAAAAGTCTCCTTTTCGTTCCCAGATTTGAGTGATCACTATCTTAATAGTATGTAAAGCCGATAGAACCCCAATGAGACGGCCAATCAAGGAATGTTCCTCCCTAAGAGCACTAACCGCCACATCATCGTTGTTGAATTGAACGACAACCACCAAGGAAAATGTAACCGCACGAAAACCAACCACCCAGAGGCCCTGCAACTCTGACAACCAGAAAGAATAAAAGTAGAATCGGTTTCCTAAGAGGATTCGAAAAGTTGACTTATAGCGTATGAGAGTCCCACGGACCTCGGCGCCGACTACGCACCTCGGCGGAAAGCTCGAATCAGCGTATGTGCACGATTGAAAAATCCTGCACCCACCAACGGAGAGGAAAGCAAGGGGTTTTTTATTTAAACTTTGATAGGTTTCTCCCCTCCCCAATTTTCATTTCGTTCCCGCTATCATATAAATTACAATAAAAAAATGAGAACTTAATCCTTCCCATTCTATTTGTCCCTTCCCTTCGTTCTTCTACTTTACCAGTTCTCCCATCATCGGTAATCCAAACCACCAACTCAAACTCCGCCTCTGTCACTACTCAGCTACCCACAAAACGTCCAAGCTACTGAATCAGCGTTAGAAAAATGGGAAACGAGTCTACTGAAGTGATTAAAATATGGAGCTACGGTTTCTCACATGAGGGGGATTTCAATTCGTCTCTTCTCCTTGGCGAATGCGATGGTGTGCGTCACCGCGTTACGTATGCGGTGAAGGTCAAAGGTAAATGTTTTTGGTCTTGAAATTGCATTTGTTCCTTACACTCTAGTCAGAGTCGTGGATTTCCCCCTAAACATGGCTTATCCACGGTGACATGGTGAAGTCAATTGCCTTTTATGAATGACATAAACCGCAAAATCTTGAGTTGAGAAACTGATATAAAGAAGGCTGCTAGTGCACGTACATACATTGGTTTCTATTATGGGACAATCCAAGTACCACATTGGAAATACAAGGGAAGAAACCCTTGTATATTAGTGTCCATCTAGCCCAATTAGTACAAGGCCTTTTGGGGAGGATACCCAAGAGTAAAAACGTGCGGGCTTGGCCCAAAGAGGACAATATCGTACTAATGAGCGACACAGTTTGACAAGTGGTATCAGAGTCTAGTTCCGGTTCGAGGTGGTGGACGTCAGTTTGGTGGGACCCTCATTTGAGGGACCTCGGGATTTGAGATCTCCGTCTGGTTTGGTGGATTCACGAGAGATTCATTTCTGGTTGGCGGATCAAAGAGATTCCTGCGTCTAGGAAAATCCTTGTACCGAGAAGCCCATCGATACAAGGTGTTCGACGAATCTGGATAATCGCTGAGGAGAGGACACGAAGTTTGAGGTCCTTGGCTTGTGGGAGGATTGTTATGGGACAATCCAAGTACCACATCAAAAATACAAGGGAAGGGACCCTTGTATATAAGTGTCCACCTAGCCCAATTAGTACGAGGCCTTTTGGGAAGGATATCTGATGACTCGATATTTGCATATGTTTTCCCCTTAGTTTCTTGATCTTTTAAGCTTGCATTATTGCTTCTTTGGCCTATTTTACGCTAGTTTGTGTTCATTTGTCACATTTCAGGTCCTAGAACATAAAGTGAAGCATAGGCGCAAGTTTCAAGTCAATCAGAGATCAATTGGCGATTAGGGAGAAGAAACTCGGGCATGACCTAAAGAATAATGGATTTATACCTCACTTTATGGACAAATAATCATGAAATCTTGTCATTAAAAGAAAGAGGACGAGACTACGAGCGTCTGGGATCAAACGGCGACTGATTCGGAGTCCGGACGAGGGAGAAACGAAGCATTGAATGTAGGGGAACAGGTTCGGCAGTAAAAATACGGGCGCACCTAAATCAAAACACGGCCGTGCCCATATTTAGACACGACCGTGTTTTGGCCGACGCGCTCGGTCGTGTTTTTAACACGGGGCAAAACACGGGCGGGCAAAAGTAGAACACGGCCGTGTCCTCGACAGTGTTTTGCCCAGAATTGGGTTTTTTAGGCAGATTGAAGCCAAAGGAAAGGGAGAGCTGGGTTTTGGATCCCAAACACCCAAGGGACAAACCCTAGAGAGAGAGCGACTTGGGAACATTCTTGGAGCTATTTTGGAGGATTTCTTTGCCATTGGAGCTTGGGAATCAAGCTTGGAGATGGAGATTGAAGATCTAGATCAGATTTCTGCAGTCTCTCTCTTCTCTATGGAGTAATTTCCCTTCACTTAGGTTTTGAGGAACCCTAGCTATATTTGTTTGATTAGATGATTGTATGAATACTCTGACTTGATAATCTTGAGTTCATATTTAATCTATGCATGTTTTCATGATTCAATTCTGCTTTAGTCGAGATTATTGATTCTGCTTTGATCCTATGAGAGCGAATACCTGATTAGGTCAATAGAGCACCATAGATTGATAGTAGTGGATCGATTGCTTTAATCGAGGGTTGATTCACTGCTTTGTATCGATTGAGAACTTCATTCGATAGAGGGGATCTAGTTCAGAACGCCTTGATCAATTGTTCTAGAGAAGGATACGTCCCTCTAGGCAATTGACTCAAGAGGGCCTTGTTCCTTTAGTCGAGACTCAAGGTCTAGTCAAGGATTCTCCGCATTGTGAATGAAAGTGAAATAGGCTAGAGATCATCAATCATTAATCTGGCTAGTGGCTAGGGGGAATCATACCTAAGTGAGTTCCCAACCTGTAATTAGATTAACTTTAACTGTAGTTTGCTAGAGTAGTTTTAGTTCTTTCATCTTAATCTGGTTTGCTAAATAATAAACTGAAGCTGAGTAATAGTAACTCTAGAGACCCGTGGATTCGATATTTATCACTTTAGCCACTATACTGCAGTCCCTTTCATTGGTTACACTTGGCCTTTGTTAGGAGTTGCGTCATAGCGAGTCAATATCCAAGCGTAAAATCGTGCGGGCTTTGCCCAAAGCGGACAATATCGTACTAATTGAGCTGGGCATATCAAGGAGGAGAAGGCTATGAATTCGGGTGGTATTACCCCGAGACTCCCTGGAGAAATCAAGGAGGAGAAGACTATGGATTCGGGTTCCAGTACCAACCCCCTTATAACGGAGAAGGACCGGACCCCTGGGCATATCAAGAACAACCTCATTACCAAGAAGAATTTCTCTGACAACCAGAAGGGTCATCGACGCTGGAGTTACCCATGGCGGCCTTCATGGGCCATTCTGCAGAGCCATGCTACACTCTACAGCCAGATTCAAACTATGAATTGAGGCTTCTCATGGAACAGTTTGCCCGAGACAGTGAGAGAACATGCTCCAGGATGGATCATTGTGTCCAGGCCTATCGTGAAACAGAGGAGATCCTCCTGAGCCTTAAGAAGAGCGTCGATGATCTTGAGCGATCTTGTTCACAACCTGCTCTCGATCACCCTTCTGCTACCATACTAGAAGAGGAGGAGGAAGAAGAAGGCTACAAGGACATTATGGAGCACACTAAAGTTGTCACTGAGAGCTCCCGTGATGATCATGATCATGAATGTCCTGTCATAGCCGACCACACCTTCCCACATCCTAAACTGCGCTTTGAAGAGGCGGGCATGAGTGAGGAGATGCAAGAAGATATCATGAAAGAAATTGCTTGGCTGCTTGCTCTCCAATCCGTGCTAGAAGAAGAAGAGCGAGAAAGGGTGCAGAAAGAAGTTGTGGAGGATAACGAAAGTGAAGCAGAAGGATTTCTTGATCATTTCCCAGGGGTGATATCACATGAAGAAGAAAGGGAGGTTGAAGAAGCAATTGGAGTCCAGGCTGAGGAAGGACTTAAGGTGGAAGAGGCCTGCACCAGCCATGAGTTACATGTGATATCTCCACCAGACTTCGAGGAACTGCTTAGCAAGGACCCATTTGCAGTGTCTCTTTGCCAGACCAAGGACACATCAACATCGGTCCCTCTTGGTGGAGGCGATGGTGTCCAATCGATGTTGTCATATCTGGTTCGGGGCAATGAGACGAGAGAAGAGAGGAAGAGGTCTCGAGGGTGGAGACTTCATCTGCATCAAGTGCACGAGCTTCCATCACCTGTCATACCACATGCTCGTGACTTGAGACTCCACCTCATTGACGAGAACCTCAACTTCAAGGAGGTTTTGGGGTGGACCGAAACTTAGGAGTCATCGTCCGGCTCACGACGTGAAAGAAGCGCTTGTTGGGAGGAAACCCAACCAGTCGGTTTGCATTTCTTTCCCTATTTCTCTTCGGCTGAGTCAGTTTTGTTCTTTTATTTTAGAGTCAATAACTCAACCTTTGTGAGATTTTATGTGGTGTTTGTGTTCTGACTACTCTCTCTTCCTGGAATGCACCGCCTGCCCCGTCCACCATCATTCACCCTTGATATGGTAACTTCGTTCTACCCTCCTTATCTTTCCTCCACTAAGGACAATGTCGTGCTTAAGTGTGGGGGGGGGGGGGGGTGTTCGATTATGTATGCGTGTGAATGTTTGACTATTTGTGTGCTTGGAGCCTAGTCCACTGTCCAAATTTCAATTTGAGGGCTCCAACTACGTGCTTCTTGCAATTTCCTACTCAGTATGCTTTGAATTGACAGTCTCTATAGTAATGTGCAACCTAGGGAGGTAGTGTAGCACTATGGAGGATGTTGATGCATTTAAGAAGTCTCGTTTCTTCTTCATATTGTGTTGGTTGATTGTGTGAATTAGTGATCTTAGGACCCTTGAATTGTGTGGTGATGTGGACTCTCTACCTGCCATGGACTATTGTATCATGTTTTGAAATAAAAGGTGCTAAAAATGTGCTTTAAAATAACGTCTCTCGTGCGAATAGGGTGAAAGTGTGTAAGGGGAGACAGGAATATGTTCCCAATTTCCACCTACTACCTCCAGCCCCCTTACATATCTTTCCCCCGCACGAGGCTCGAGACATCCGCTCCTGGTATGGCCGGTAAGAGTCGGGCTCCCGTAAAACCTCTGCTAGGTGGGAGCCCCCATTTTTTTTTGAAAAACAGGTTGGAACCCTTGAAAAGAAAATTGAAAAAAATAGAAAAACAAGAAATAAGAAAGAAAATGGGTCCCAACCATCTTCAAGAAGAAAATAGAGCACCTTAAAAATACGATTCCATGATCTTTTGTTTTTGAGAGTCCATTCGTCCACGATTCATTTGTCCTCTGAATACTATTTGCCATGATGCCGACTCGAGACTAGCGTTCTCGCCGAAGAAGCTATGAGATGACTTGTGCGTCGGTTGACCTCGTAAGCTGCTAAATGATCTAGAAAATCCCCTATCAACGATCGAGGGTGCATGTTGCTATAGCGGTCTGGAGAGCTGCATTGGTTTGAGTCAGGTTTGCTTGGGGACAAGCAAAAGGTTAAGTATGGGGGGATTTGATGAATCGATATTTGCATATGTTTTCCCCTTAGTTTCTTGATCTTTTAAGCTTGCATTATTGCTTCTTTGGACTATTTTACGCTAGGTTGGTTCATTTGTCACATTTTAGGTCCTAGCACATAAAGTGAAGCATAGGCGCAAGTTTCAAGTCAATCAGAGATCAATTGGCGATTAGGGAGAAGAAACTCGGGCATGACCTAAAGAAGAATGGATTTCTACCTCACTTTATGGACAAAGAATCATGCAATATTGTCATTAAAAGAAAGAGGGCGAGACTACGAGCGTCTGGGATCAAACGGCGACTGATTCGGAGTCCGGACGAGGGAGAAACGAAGCATTGAATATAGGGGAACAGGTTTGGCAGTAAAAACACGGGCGCGCCTAAATCAAAACACGGTCGTGCCCAAATTTAGGCACGACCGTGTTTTGGCCGACGAGCGCGGGCGTGTTTTTAACACGGGGCAAAACACGGGCGGGCAAAAGCAAAACACGATCGTGTCCTCGACAGTGTTTTGCCCAGAATCGGGTTTTTTAGGCAGATTGAAGCCAAAGGAAAGGGAGAGCTGGGTTTTGGATCCCAAACACCCAAGGGACGAACCTTAGAGAGAGAGAGAGAGAGACTTGGGAACATTCTTGGAGCTATTTTGGAGGATTTCTTCGCCATTGGAGCTCGGGAATCAAGCTTGGAGATGGAGATTGAAGATCTAGATAAGATTTCTGCAGTCTCTCTCTTCTCTATGGAGTAACTTCCCTTCACTTAGGTTTTGAGGAACCCTAGATAAGTTTGTTTGATTAGATGATTGTATGAGTACTCTGACTTGATAATCTTGAGTTCATATTTAATCTATGCATGTTTTCATTATTCAATTCTGCTTTAGTCTAGATTATTGATTCTGCTTTGATCCTATGAGAGCGAATACCTGATTAGGTCAATAGAGCACCATAGATTGATAGTAGTGGATTGATTACTTTAGTCGAGGGTTGATTCACTGCTTTGTATCGATTGAGAACCTCATTCGATAGAGGGGATCTAGTTCAGAACGCCTTGATCGGTTGTTCTAGAGAAGGATACGTCCCTCTAGGCAAATGACTCAAGAGGGCCTTGTTCCTTTAGTCGAGACTCAAGGTCTAGTCAAGGATTCTCCGCATTGTGAATGAAAGTGAAACAGGCTAGAGATCATCAATCATTAATCTGGCTAGTGGCTAGGGGGAATAATACCTAAGTGAGTTCCCAACCTGTAATTAGATTAACTTTAACTGTAGTTTGCTAGAGTAGTTTTAGTTCTTTCATCTTAATCTGGTTTGCTAAATAATAAACTAAAGCTGAGTAATAGTAACTCTAGAGACCGTGGATTCGATATTTATCACTTGAGCCACTATATTGCAGTCCCTTTCATTGGTTACACTTGGCCTTTGTTAGGAGTTGCGTCATAGCGAGTCAATATCCAAGCGTAAAATCGTGCGGGCTTTGCCCAAAGCGGACAATATCGTACTAATTGAGCTCTCCGATTATGAAAGTGGTATCAGAGTCTGGTTCGGCGAATCTGAGGCGCTTGACCTCAATTTGGTGGGGCCCTCATTTATTGGACCTCAGGAAATACGATTCGCGTCTGTTTGGCGGATCAAAAATAGTTCTACGTCTGGGCTACATCTAGTTTGGCATATCAAAGAGAGTTATGCATATGGGAAAAGTCCTTGTAACGAGAAGCCCATCGGTACAAGGTGTCTGGCGGATCAAGATAATCGCTGAGAAAATGACACAAAGTTCGTGGTCCTTGTCTTGAGGGGAGGATTGTTATGGGACAATCCAAGTACCACATCGAAAATACAAGGGAAGGAACCCTTGTATATTAGTTATCATCTAGCCCAATTAGTACGATAGCTTTTGGGGAGGACACCCAAGAGTAAAACCATGTGGGCTTAGAACAAAGCGGACAATACCGTACTAATGAGCGACCGGGTTGTACAAGTGGTATAGAGCCTGGTTCCGGTTTGGGGTGGTGGATGTCAGTTTGGTGGGATCCTCATTCAGGGGACCTCGGGATTTGAGATTTGCGTCTGGTTTGGTGGATCCAAGAGAGATCCATCTCTGTTTGGCGGATCAAAGAGAGTTCCGCGTCTGGGAAAATCCTTGTACCGAGTAGCCATCGATACAAGGTTTTCAGCGGATCAAAATAATCGGTGAGAAGAGGACATGAAGTTCATGGTCCATGTCTTGAGAGGAGGATTGTTATGGGACAATCCAAGTACACATCGGTAATACAAGGGAAGGGACCATTGTATATTAGTGTCCACCTAACCTAATTAGTAGAGGCCTTTTTGGTGAGAACATCCAAGAGTAAAACCGTGCAGGCTTGGCCCAATCGAACAATAATGTACTAATTGAGCTGCACAATTTCGATAGTTTTCACTGACACGATCAAACATGTCGTATATAGTATGGATGGACAATTCCTTCGTCAAAGGTTGCAATCAGCAGCTCGATACTCCATCGGTCACAACTTCAATTCCCTGCCAACATTGGGCTGCCCTTTGGAAAATGCATGCCATCTCCAGATCTCCCCAGATTTGTTTAATTATGCAAATACAAATCAATTTCCACCATCGACGAGTCTATTTTTATAAACTGACTGATCGCTACTTGCCATTACATCAGAATAAGAGGAGGAAGTAGTGGAAACCCTAAAATGATGGCCAAGAATACAAGGGGGGCAGAAAAAGCATATACTATTCTGATCGTGGCTAATGATTAAAGTTAAGCTAGCATGAATATTCTTATCTTTTTATTTATTTTTTATGTCCTTTTTGTTATTGCCACATTTTCTTTTTATTTTAATTACTCCCCCACAATTTCTGCTCTTTTGTCCCACTCAAATGCACAATCATCTCTTAATTATATCTTTAAAAAAGTACCCGTAAAAAATATATTAAAAAAGCAGTAATTGCAATTGTCATAATTAGTTCACTTCCCTAAAATATATTGATGTCTTGTATCCAAGGTTGTCAATCCGCAGGCTGATCCGGACCCGATCGAGCTAGTAGGTCAAGGGTTAATGGGTCACCCGTTTTAGTCCGGTTTAGCCCGGAAATATGGAAAGAGTCATTCTACTTATCCTGATAAATTATATCAAATCTCATCTAACATATGAGTCTATAACTTATAACATATAATATTCCACCAAAATAACATGTCGTACTTAGATCCAACATATAGTGAAAATTCGCACACACTTATATAACATCAATATTCAAATGTTCAACTTAGAATTCCAAAGATTGAGTTAGGAGAAAGAAGAATCGAAAAATAGACGTATTTCGCAAACCAAAGAAAAAAATGACACAATTTGACCTCCAACCCGTTACCTTGTAGTGGTCGACCCGGCGGGTGCATGCGGCCCGTTTTTACCACCGTTTTTATCACCCAGCCTTCCTCTGGATCCGTAGTTACTATAGTCTTATGAAATTTTTGATTTTAGACATTCGAGTCAGTGTTATTCTATGATAAGATTGGGTTTAACTAGAAAAAATATCAAGTTGAACATATTCAAATCACTACTTTAAATTTAGCCTAGAAATTTTAGCCCCAAAGATTATGCGTATAAAAAAATAATGAAACCAAAAATTCTAAAAAGTTTAAAACGTAAAAGACTAAAAGAAATATCAGGTTTGTTCCCTTAAAAATTTACTAGAGCAGCTGTTGTGCAGGGATGGACACACAATGCAAATTGATTAGTCGATTGATTTATCTAATGTTGATGCTGCTCGTTTCAACAGCTACTACGAAGAGAACCTTTTCAACAATGAAACATGTGATAACTGATTTGCTCAAAAAAATGAGCGATGAATTTCTCGTCGATTGCTCAAGTATTTTATTTGAAACAGTGTATACTATTGGTATGGATGTAGACTCCATTATTGATGCATTCCCTAAATTAAAATACAGTCGTGTACCATTTACATTGCAAAAAACTATAATCATTATATTTTTTTACGGTTCTAATTTTCTAATGAAATGCGGCCCAGTGCTCTTCTATGTTCTGGATCCGCTGCTGGTTGACTACATTGCTTGTATCATACAAGAATTTACGTGGAAGATATATTCCGCTTTATTTCGCAAATCATGACGAATGTATCTTTTACAGGTACTAAATGGAGTTTACAAAGCCATTAATTCTACTCTGCTACAGTGCTACGTCCTCTAATGCAAATACAAAAGCATGTTGTTTCGTGGTAAAAAGGATGATGGCTCGTCTAAAGTTGGGTTAGACGAATCCTTTGACTTTCACTGCACTTGGCTATCAATTATAACGTACGCCTCGCCAGATGCAGTTTGTTAGGTGACCAAGGCCAACTCCACACAATCAACCCAAACTGTAATTAAACATGAAAATACAGAATAAAATGTGAAATGTTCACATGTATTATTAGATTTTTTTTGGGTGAACTTGGAGATTTGTGAAATACGTGATACCATTACCATATGTACCATGACAATACTTTAATTTCATACTAAAATGAAATAAAATAAAATGTAAGTGCTATAATATGTATTTAAAATTTGATAGACAGAATACACGGATACCAAACTGCACTATAAAGGGCAATTAAAGGCCAGAGGTAAAGGGTCCGTCATGATGATGATCATATATGTGCATCTCCACAAGTCAAATGGAGTGTAATTGCAAGTACCCTTTTCGATAGTATTAATCTTAACAATTATTATTTTTTATGATAAAAAAAGCGCAGTGGGGGAAGGGTGGGAGAAAAGCAATCATAACCTTGAAGAAAGTAGCTCGAGCACAGCAGCAGCAGCAGGATGTGTGAAGAAAGCAAAGTCTTATCAGAATTCCAGGCGGGTGTGTTTTCCTTTGCTGAATAGGAAAAGGAATGAATGATAATGATGGCGCGGGAAGTTGGGAACAGTGAATGCAAATTGAATATTAAGCCATTAACGCAGACCCAGATAATCAATTTTTAATAACAACTTCATTCTACTGATTAACTTTCAGATTAGGGATAGGAATATTTAGGGAACGGTGACCATGCAAAAGAAAGAGGGCCGGCAGGACAGGAGGATATTTGTTATTGTATTGGTTTTAGGGTTTCTGAACCCCATTTCCCTTTTCTTCTTTCCATTCTCATGAGCAGAGTGGGTTTCTGAACTCTGAGCAATGGCCGGCGTGCCTGTGCATCTGCTATTTGTTCATAAATAAATAGGTGATTAGGGGTACCAAATTGGAAGAAGATTTATCATATTTATCGTTTTTAATTAAAGTGTCATTGAAGTTATTATACTAGATTATAAGTTATTATACTAGACTAGTGTAATAATTGAATTGAGGTAACTAAACAATCATAAAGACTTACAAATAAGAACTTGATGTACCGACGAAGGAGGAAAAACTGATGTTTCTTTTGCCTTGTCTGCGATTATAGAGTTTCAACGTTCTTCCAACGAAAGTTGATCACGAGTTTGAAGATTGAGGGTTATGACTCATGAGGATTCAGAAATAAAGCCTTTTCAATCGAAAACTCTAATAGCTTGGGATGAATTAGTTGGTTAAAATAACCGAAGTTGTTGGGTGAAAGACCAAATTTTTGTTATTATACCATTCCCTTGGATGCTAATGTACAATACATTTGATCTTTAGGAATTAGTGGTTGGTTAATAGTATACAATACATTATTGAGCCTCTCTAAAAACTCCAACGATTGATACCAACTAATTCTTTATATTGTATCAACCATTTATATGTTGATTGAGAGTTTTCATGTTCGAATTGCGACCACCATCAATATTAACAGTTGATGATTTATGTAAATAACATAGTTAACGAAACTTGAAATTCATATGTTAATAACTTTCATTTCAATTAATATCATAAAGATAGATAACATTTATTACTAAATCTTTTTCGATAAATCATAATTATTGAAACTAACTACTGATAGAAAATAGAAATTGTGGAAAATGGCATAAATTTCACTAATCTTTATGGGATAAATCATAAACGTGAGTACCCCAAAGATAAAATCACGTGGCTTCTACAGTGCATTCACTCAACTCTAAAAGTAGTATTAAGACATCAGATTTTGGATTGTAATTGTAGCATAAGGTCACAACTAACCAATGCATTACTCTAGACCTTCAATTTTGACCTCTAACTGTAAATTCCGAATTATAAACCCTACACCCTAACCCTTAATAGCCAAAGACTAAATCTTACAAATGAAAGTAAATCTTGAAAGATTTTGGTGCTAATTCATGCACTTTCTTGTCCATCATATCAGACGTAATGATTGATATTGTTTTGACATGAAACGCTTGCTTATAGTGAGGATTACGAGGCAAGTGCATTGAATGAACCCATAAATGTGATTACACCGAATACAATAAACTACTCCCTTATATATATACTTTACATAAATTTGTTAGGTTGTATGAAAATTTACAAAGAAAGTGAAAATGAAAAGATGAAAGGTGTACAACAAGGTTGTCAACTCGCAAGTCAACTTGTTGGTAGACCTATTTTGACCCTGATCCGTTGAGAAATACGGATCGTATGCAAGGTTATCTAGTTGGAGGTCACATACCGTCGTTTTTCCCTTTGCTTTGCGAAATAGGTTTTTTTATGGTTTTCCTCTTCGCCTAACTCTATTTTTGGAATTCTAGGTTCAACATTTGAATATTGATGTTATATAAGTGTGTGTGAATCTTCACTATATTTTGGATTCAAGTACGATATGTTATTTTAGTGTAATGTTATATGTAATTACTCATATGATAGATGAAATTTGATATAATTTACAAATGTATGAACAATATAATTTTTTTTTCCATATATTCGGACTAAATCGGCTTAAAGTGATCAGACCATTAATTCTCAACCCACTTTCTTGACCAGCCAACGCCATATATCGGGTTGACAATCTTGGTGTACAACCAATATAAATACGTGGAACAAATAAATACATAAACCTCCTTTGTACGTTACTAAAATTTAACTGGAAGATGTGTTGACATGCATAAATTCAGCGGTCGAGAAGTAGTTACAGAAGAGAGGAAGAGCTAGCCCATGATCGTGTGGAAAAGGGTTTTGGAATTGCTGAGGAGAGGGACATGCAAAAGCAAAACTGGGGAAGAGAAAGTGGGTGAGAAAAAGGCCCTGAAAAGAAAAGGGCAACTGGTTGGGTGCACAGAAAGTTGGCTCCCTTTTCGACTTGCATACCAGAATGATGAGCTCTGCCATTAGAGAGAGAAAAAAAGGAGACGTGAATTCAAATATACGTACACACACCCACCACCCACAACTCCCCATGTCACTGACTACACTATTTTACCCATTTCATCACATTATTAATCAAGTACAACTGAACCCTGAATATGTTCGAAAATGCTACAACCAAGTTTCATATTTCGATAGAAATTGTTGGATACGTCTCCTTCTATGCTAGATATATTTTCATCGAATGAGATGATGTCGTATTAGAAGTCTAATGATTTATTATATTGACAATTAATTTGAATATACGATGAGATAATTTTATATTTGATTCTTATGATTTGTTATTTTGATAACCGCGCGATTTTGTCGTGATATGACTGAGTTGTCAAAGTTTAAACTCCCGCCGCGCGCGATGGTGAGTTCTTGTTGAATGCTACTGTGCGTACCTTCTCCATTAATGCCCTCTTCAACTAAAGACTATAACAAGTTATCTGTCCATTCCAACCCAAGATGTAAAAACTTGCAAAGAGATGAACAAAACTTTGTGCATAGACATAAATGCGTTCCAATGTTAATTACTTTTGAAGCTAGCTTGTACGTTCAGAGAGGTAAATGAATCTACGCCTAATCACAGTCATCTACCACTACTACCCTCACTTGCTATAGCCTACTTTTTTACAGTGGTTTGAGGTACATAGATAAGATGGTGCAATGTGAAATGATGAGGTAGAAGAAAAAATGGGATGGAGTAGTAGTACCAACTAGTCCAACTTCATGGGCACGTTTGTCAGCCACCCTACCAATAATAATACCCTAATAACGGATGGAGTAGTAGTAGACGTAGTACTACTACTAGCTAGTCCCACTCCATCCAATCCATCCTCGATCCGCCAAGCCATGGATTTTTGCTTGTTATATTCATGAAGCTAGCTATCACCTAACCTGTCTGTCATTCCCTACAAAACCAGAGAGGGAGGAAGAGTACTACGACTGCTGCTGATTCGACCGTATGTATATCTGCCTTGCCCCCTTCTGCCCCTAATGATTGATGTATCACCTACCTACCAACCTAGCCAATAGTAACATTTAATTACCGCGCAACAACATTGTCCCAATCTAGATTGAAGAAAGGAAGAGGGTTATCTTATCTATGTAGCTAGCTAGTAGCTACTATCAAGCAGTAAATCAAGATTAACCGGTTTTTATTCCTATAGTATGGGTAGTACGTACGAGTAGTATTATGTTATACTATGAGTACTGTTATGTAATTGGGCAGTGTAATATTCTTTATCAAATCATAATATTATAGAACTAAGTTTCTGTACTCTACATAAACCTATATAATTTCAATAATAATACACAACAGTTTCCATCGAGTATGGTAATTGTATTCGTAGCCTAATCTAAGTACATATTGTGTTAACCCTACCTAACTCGCAGTCATCAATTGCTACATACATACATAGTAAAACAAAGCTGAGAGCTCTCTTTTTCTGCGCTGAATGACAAAAATCACGTATATCAAAGCTGAGAGCCAGCTCTCTTTTGTATACAAGTAAACTTAAACACGTACAAATTAAATTAAAGCAGAATGTGTGTATATATATAAACCAATGTTTTCGACTGATCCTCGTGCAGCCTAATCGATAATATAAACACCGATTATCATCGCCCTTGTTTTTGCGAAAGCTATACAATTCGCATCAGCCACTTTTAATTTACTATCACAAACAAACAAGTAGTGTACCTTTGTTGTCTTGGATTCCCAACAGCTACAATCAATATTAGTCAATATCCACCCACTAGCTAGCACTCCATACGTGATTTGTATTGCACACAAATATATTCTATGAATCTTGTGGGCGCAGGCAGGACGGCAGGAGCATGCAGGAAGCTGAGGTGTTAGAAAGTGGGAAAATGGTGCGACTCTGTCGTCTGTGGGAAGGCGTGGTAGCGTGGGGGTCTGCTGCTTTGACTACCATTGACCAAATAGAGAGACGCACTTCTCCAACACAACACTACTGGGGAACAAAAGTACAAATGCATGCACTCGGAAACAAATGCATATCATTATTTTATAAGGAGCACAAAAAAGAAAAGTGCAGATATATAGGCGAGAATAGAAGAAGAAGAAGAAGAAGAAGAATAAGTCTTTGATGTGCTCAATCACCTGACAAGTTTAAGCTCCCGCCCATACGCCATGCACTCTTCCCACCCCACCCCTCCCCTCTTCTTCTCTTCTTTCCCAGAAGCAATTATTTGGATCTGTCAGCACCCAACCCAACCCAGTAAAATTTTCTGATTTTGTATTTTCTGCAATGTTATTAGTAGCCCATCCATCATTGCCAGCGGCGGATATATGGAGGTTTAGGGGTATCCCGCGACACTACTAAAATTTGAAAAAACGATTATCCAACCTTCGATAGTAGTTTGTGTATGGGTAAAAAAATTTAGTAATAGTGGAACACCCTTAAAATATGAAAAATGATCATTCAACCTCCTATAGTATTCTGCATATGGGTACAAATAATATTTAAGTGATAGGGTCTATGTGATTTGAACTTGGGAACACTACTACTATTAGTAAATATAGTTTCAATTAGACTACCACTCATTTGTAGTTATGTTTTAGATCAAAATATAATTGTAAAAGGCTATTCTTATCCCCAATTATTTTCATAACCTAACGATTAAACTCAATTACGGGTTACCCTTGTCTATTAGGATATGTCACTAGAGATTTGTTGAGCAGTGTATACACCGAATGTATTTTACCATTCTTTCATAATACGAAACATGTTTGAACTTTTATTCTAACTTTTACTAGTTGAATATTTTCATATTTAATATTTTGATTTAATTTAATTTTTTTTAAGAGGACACCCCTATTTAAAATTTCTAAATCCGCCATTGATCATTGCTTCAGTTGAGTACTGGGTTAATTACTTAATTGGCTTACTTCAGTTGTCACAAATATTACCGAAAAATATATGGAGTGGAAACTAACTAGATCATGAGTGTAATTGTATTCAAACAGTTAGCTGATGAACTATATAGTTAGAAGTTAGAATGGAGTTTCTTTGTGTATTTTTTTTCTGCTATTTATAAGTTAAAGCTTAATCAAAACCCTAGCTATATAGTAGTGGAGTTCATTTCTTTACCCTAATGACTCACATCACATGCATGGACTGACATGTTGCACTCATTATTCCCACATGCACATGCAAATTCCCCACCCTCTCTCTCTCTCTCTCTCTCTCTCTCTCTCTCTCTCTCCATTATATGTATTGCAGACAGAAACAGACAATTTTGTACCACTTGATAGGCTTTATCAGTCTAGCTGCATGCCGACCTCTATTCTATTATTAGCTTATGTCAATAGCAATAGCTTTCCAGGGTTCATAGGTATGTACTAATCCCACCTGCTTTATTGTACACATTAAAATCGCCACTTAAATTACCCGTGCCAATAAACTAAGCATGCATGTGTCAAGGAACCCTATTAATTAAAATTAGATTATTGAGTAATGATCAACAATCCTTACTATAAACTCAAACTTGAAACAAAAACACGACCACAGATGACAAATGACACACCCATCCGTAGATGATAATACTTCTTCGTCAACATCATATTAGAAGCTAATATTTGAACTAAGCATAAAGCACTATATATTTGGTCAATGAGATTCAACTGTAGTTTGTGTCCAGGCCATGAAAGGAGAGAGGGTCTGGAGATGAGTTTATGATGATGATGATGCCATGATGACGAGATTAATCCACCATTTATGGATTCAAATTTTCACCATCCCTAATATAAAAAATTAATTGATCAAAAGCAAGCTATGCATATATAGCCAGAAGTAGTGGCATGGGTTGGGAGTGGGACTCGATCCATCTTTGTTTGTTTGCGATGAAGAAAGGAGATGAAGGCCAAGGGAAATAAAAGGGCGAAAGGGAAATCCATTCCATCGCATGCCCTTTTTACTTCTCCCAAATGTCCTACTTTACTTTCGATGTCAACAAAACCAAACGCAAATTGACAAAACAACGAAAGGTCCAGCAAAAACCCCAGAAAAAGAAAAGAAAGAAAAACATATATAAAGAATATAATTATTATGCATATAGATCGATCAAATTATATACGTTACTGGTCCCCTTGGGGCTGTTTTTGGTTTCATCTACTGTCTATATATCGATCGGATATGATATGATGATCATCGCCATCATATTCTCTCCTCTGTGCTCTTCTCTTTCTCCAGGAGAAGTCATCATCATCAAAAGGATCCCATGCATGATTATTACGTATACACCAATACATGCTTTCACTTCATCATTAATCGCCTTCTTTTTTCAACCGCTTTTCTAAATTTTTAGCGGCCACCTCCTGTCTTTCATTACAACCTCCTAACTAACCTGCCTTCCGACCGCAAGCAAATAGGAGGGGGTATATGGTAACCGTCGTCCATATACAAAAATAGATTGAGGGAAATGACAACCTGAATATCACACTAAAATCCCACTTAAGTCCCATGTATAAATCTTAAATGAGTGTAATATAGGCCAAATATGTTTAAATATCAATTCGGGCTGGTCCATGTACCACTACTTCAATTGTTTGAAACATTATTTTGCGGAATGTTGTCTGTGAGAATCTCTACAATCTACTATAGAAAAGCAAGACTTGAAAAGTAAAAGTTTTGAAACTCTTGGTCAGAAGCTTCACTCGGGAGTTGCTTCCTCCTAACTAACTACCATGAACTGTGGGATCGAATGAATCGGTGTGCGACAAGGCAATTGCTAACCGTAGGAGGTGCAACAATAGTTGGAAATCATCCTCTCAATTGCTAGGCCAAGGAAAGCATTATAGGCTACAATTGTAGCCCTTCTGGTCCAAGAAATTGAGAGTTGACTTACCTTCTCCCTCAAACCAAGGTTTGGACGGCATAGTCACAATTAACCTATGTGTCTAATTCGAGTTTAGAGGTTTGCCCTTCATTAACCTAGTTAGGAGGCATGGAATGCCTAAGACAACCCAGCTCAATTTGAGCCTCTTAAGAAAATGAGGTCTCTCTCTGAGATATATTAGAATAGCACAATAGATTGCCAAGCACACACAATGCACAATCACCATGAAAAATACCTGAAGTGTTAAATTAAACACCAGCCACACATAATCATTCAATCCACACAATCAACTACATGGTAGAAGTTAGGGTTCTACAACATCCAAGTGAAAAGGGAGACTACTCCATGATAGACAAAGGAAAAACACAAAGGAAAAAGAAAGAAACCATCATTGTGATGCCTCCAACTGTCCTTGTGCTTGTAGAGATCCTCTCTTCAGAGAAACTTCCCAAATCTTTACTTGGAGCAAACCCTAGCCTCTTCTCCCTCTTGGTTCGTGACTTTCTCTCTAGGGTTTCAAGAGGAAGAAGGTTTCTCTCACTTGGGGCTCTCCTGCTTTCTCCTTTCAGCTCTTCATTTATACACAGATCGTGCCCAGTTCACGGTCGTGAACATAAGGCCAGGACTATGAACACAACCCAAAAAGCGCCCCTTCATTTGATCAGTTCACGGTCCATGGCTTTAGTTCACATTCTTACGACTGTGAACTGGCTCGGTGTCAGTAACCTCTGAAACCTCTCTGGACTCCCTTCGCTTTGCGGTTCATGGTTCCAGTTCATGGTCCTGGCGACTGTGAACTCGCAGCTCTGACCGTGAACTATGACTGGATCCTCCTCTTTGCCCGGTCTTTGTGCCTTTTCTCCCAACTTTCGACTCCGAGATTGGTTTCACCTATTAGACTCTGAAAAACATTGAAGCACAACAAACCTAGCATAAAACTACACTTTTTGGAGCTCAAATGCTACAAACGCCAAAGAGAAACAGAGATAAAAAGTGTAAAATTAGACCCAAATCAGGAAACCAGATTAATGTCGATGTATTACTAAACAAAATTATGGATATACACGGGTTCCAACTCCACACAATGTCTTCCCATAAAAAAAAACTTCACACAATGTCGGGTGTTTAACTTGATAGAGAGAGAAAGTACGCCAACATGGTTGCTACTCTTTTCTCTTGCGATGCTAAACTACTAGAGTTTAGGGATCACAAAACTGGTCGTAGTTCACCGCAAAATGGGGATACTTTTCACCACTTGAAGTTCCATATGCCTTTTCAACTGAATACAAACCCCCTATTTATATTAACTCCCCAAAGTCAAAAGCCTAATAATTTTCTCCTTATTAAATGAACTAGAACTCCTTTTCCTTGACTTGCACGACAATAACCCATACATCTTGAACTCGGATTCGCCTAAATATATGTGGAAAACTTATAGATGGAAATCGTTTGCTTATTATGCCGATAGGATTTTCTGACTCTAGGTTGGGGTGGTAGATCGGCCACTGATTTTTTTTTTCTTTCTATAATGGTGAAATTGAATTAAGAGAAAGAGTACAAAAAAGCCAAAGACTGGCCAGCAGTCACAAGGGATGACTGGAAGAGGCCAGGAAATCCAAAAGAAAAAAAAAGCAGAAAAAACAGAGAAAAGCAAGCAGCTGGAGAAACCAGCGGACAACCACAAATAAGAGAACAAAAACAACCAGCAACCAACCTAAGCAACAACCCAAAAAATTTTACATCGGACTCAAGAGAAAAAACCAGGATTGAGCTTTGCTCTATTATGGTATATGCTCTTTCCATGATTCATTTTAATCTTGTTTGTACCTGAAAATCACCAAAAGCTACCCAATTGGCAACATATAGTACAAAAACACACCTAAAGTCTCTAATGATCTCATGTTGGACATCTTATATGATTTCTATATAAAATCAACCATGAATGTATCACATAGAAGTTATTTTTATCCTAAATGTGAGTGGAAAAATATCATTTTCAAGTGTCATTGGAATCAGAAGTCATTTTTGAATGCTAGGCCTAGCCCAAAGAGCTTTGACGATTCATCAACGAATAGTTTTATGCAAAACTTACTCTATCCAATATCAAGTTTTGAGGTTATAGGGGATTGTGTTTTCACTTGAGCACCGCGTTTATCGGAAATTCCATTTTTCCCCGCCCATCATTCTCCTTCCCTATTCTACGGCGGTTGTTGGAGCTACTCTTCGGCGTCGTCTCTGCCCTCTTCTCCTCGTTGATCAGAAGTGCTCTATCCGACGATGACTCTGGTGCGTCGAGGACTAGGAATTTATGTTGATGGGAACTTCTTCGACAGCCATGACAGGACAATCTTGAGCCGACTTATGTTTGGAGTTGCAGAGGAAAATCAACTGGTGTATGTTGAACCAAAGTTGGTAGACGTCGGGATGAGGATTTTGACTGAGCTTGAAGATAAAGGCATTGCGCGCTGGCGACATTGCCTTGTTGCTTAGTTCCTGAACAATCATCTGCGTCAAATCCAAGTTTGTGCCAATAAGTTTTGAGGAAAGAAAGGTACAATCAGGGTTTACGAAATAGGGAATAAGCTTGTTTCTCTTCTAATTTCCTACTAACGAAGGTTGCCAACTAGGAATTCATGAGTGGTCCTCTGCACCTAGATCACGATATACATTATTTGAGGAAATGATAACTAGGGATCAGAGCTGAGAAAACTCATCCTGAAGTGCCAATTTAGGTTTAATTCTTGGATCTACTGCTTGAATTTGTTAATGGTAGAATCTTGACACAGTTTGCAAGTAAGTTGGGGAGTCCCTTATGCTTTGATCAATCGACTAGAGTTGGGACACCAGACACGACTAGGTTATCCTAAAATTTGTGTTGAGATGGCTATTGCTTCTACTTTCCCCAAATCTAACAAGATTGTTCTTGACAGAAGACCTATATTATGTGTTCAAGTGGAGTACTTCAATAAAATAGTGGTTTGTACTATGTGCTATAGTAATTTGGGGGCATTTGTGGTTTGCAGTAAATGTTGAAGGTGCCTGGTCTAGTGCTTAGGGGCTTTCCTCTGAGGGGGAATTTCAGCAAGCAGTGTCTGGTCAAGCATCATTTGTGAGTGAAGAGCAAGGTAATTAATTTGCATTTCTACAAAAATTGGATGGATTTGCAGTAGGATCAATGGTAATTTTCACTGTGAAGAGTTCATGCCCTTATCAAGTGCTAAAGAGTTGAAGCAGAAAATAGTAAGAAAGGTCCAGAGAGGCCTCTAAGCCAAGAAACAAGCGCTATTGTTAGTCCTAATGTGGAACTTGCAAGGGTTTAATAGCCTTGTAAAACAAGATATGAGATTAGAGATAGTAAAAAGGTACAAAGGGGATATAGTTGCTATTTTAGAAACAAGAGTAGCCGGATGATGTGAGCAAGGTAGCCATCAAGAATGTCAATTTTCAAGCATTCCAAGTTGCGAGTCAATCATGGAAGAATGACATGCTGAAAATGGCTAAGTGTGGAGACAATGTCAAGGAACCTACTTTGGAAGCTTGTATCTTCATCCTGGAAAATAATCAATGGGAGTTTGGAGTTGAAGATGAAGTGCAAGTCTTGATAAAGATCGTGAAGGTGTCGGATGAGAAGATCGAAGCTTCCTAGGCACCAAACAAGCAGCCAGAAGGTCGTATGGTGACCAGTCAAAATCTGCGAAGCCAATTCCACGACCGTGGAATTCAAGCCTAGACAGCGGACTTTTATCAAGACAAAATCCACGACCATGAAATTCAAGGAGGAGACCGTGGAATTTGACCTTATGAGTTTTGTTACCATTTTCGTTTAGGATTCTTTTCCCTTTTTGGTGTTTTGATTAGGTTTATTTTTCCAGACCTATTTAAAGGGATTTGAACACGAATTTAGATATGGAGATTATGTTGAATAGAAGAAAAAAAAAGCCTTTTCGATTCATTGAGTTGTTACTCTTGAATTTTGTCCTTGTTTCTTGGTGGATCTCCAGCATTCGAGCGAGCTTTATACCAATCAAGTTTTCCCCTTGATTGTGGTCGAGTTGCTACCCATTATATTGTTCGAGTCTCTACCCAATTTTGTGTTGAACTTGCACAACAATTCTGCCCTATCCCTTATTTTTTGGAGTGTTGAGAGAAAATTCATAAAACCCCTAAAGAGATCGAAGCTACGTGGCTTTTACAAAAGAACCTAAACTTTCACGAGCTCTGATTCGGGCCTAATTGTACACTTTTTATCCCCCGTTTCTCTTTGACGTTTGTGGTAATTGAGCTCCAAAAGGGGTGGTTTTATGATAGGTTTCTTGTGTTTCAATGTATTTCAGAGTATAACAGGTGAAACCAACCCAATATTCGAAAGTTGGAAGAATAGGAGCAAAGACCGAGCAAAGAGGAGGATTCAACCAATGTTCATGCTCCAAAATTGGAGTTCACGGTCGATAGGACCGTAAACTGGAAGCACAAAGCGTGAATGCAAAGCTTCCATAGGTGTTTTTGAGGTTACTGACTCAAAGGTAGTTCACGGTCGCTAAGACCGTGAATCCCAGAAGTGAAGTGGTGCGTTTTGATCCGGTTCACTGAGTTCAAGGACGCATCCTGATGTTCATGACCTTGAACTGAGGTCTAAGACTATGAACTTATCAACGCGACCGTGAACTGAAGCCTAAGACCGTGAACTGAGCCCGATCTGGGTATATAAAAGGAGAAGGGAATGGAGGAGAGAGGAGTATAACACCACGACCTTTGGGTTCAGGTTCGACCTTAATACGTGAACGGTTGAGTTAACGATTACGTACGAAGGGTTGCAACCACGGATTAGGATTAATAATAATAACTATTATTATGATTATATAAAAATAAAAGAACAAAAACAAAAAAAAATTGGCCAAGAGGCCGAGCAGCCTCCACCGCCGCCATTTATATCCCCACCCCACAAAACCCTTTTTCCCCCACAAGAAACCCCCACCCCTCTCTTATTTTTCCTCAGCAACCAAATAAATCCCACTCCATCACAGTTCCCAGTAGCAAACAGAAAGGAGAGAAGCGTTGTCACAGTTGCCTCTTGTTTCCCCTAAAGCTGCTGGGAATTTCCAGAAACATATTTTTAGATGTTTTAAATGGTTTCAAGCCACTGTGGGGGTTGGGATTTAACAATTTTATAAATTGAGTGACTTGTAGTAGATGGTTTTAATTTAATTTGGGGATTTTTGAATATGTATTACTAATTTTAGAAATTGGTTGAATGTTCATTTTAATTAAATAAAAATCTTTCTGAAGAGTTTTTAAGGGTTTGATAATTTTTCACGATATAGGTTCTCATGATTGACATGAGAAAATTATTATCCAAATTTGTAAGGAGGTTCAAGTAAGGTGGAAAATTCGTCCAAGACGAAGTTAATTAGGAAAAATAGCCGGTTTTGAGGGGTATGCTTTTAGAAGATTGTTACAAGGGGTTAAGGGACCTTTGGAGTGAGATTTGAGGATGAGACTTTGAGGATAGGGTGTTTGGTTTATAAAATGGGGTTTTATATCGAGAAAGGTCGTCTAAGAAAATGGATTTCTTATTAATAGGTTTCCCGAGATAATTCAGCTAAGGAGGAATTTATTTGAGGAGTTATTGTTTCGAGGTGAGTGTAAAGGGTGTAAAATCTCTGTCATAGGTCTTTTAGTTTGTGATTTTCGTTCAAGTTATTAATTAGTTAATTTTTGAGTAATGCGCGATATGTGTGTGAGGCATCCCACCGCCTGTAAGGGTGGAGGCATGCGTTGTGCTATGTATGAATGTATGGATTTGAGATGGTAATAGTTGATTAATGGTAAGATAAACCCCCAGGCGGTTGGGCCACTACTGGACGTAGTAGATTGTCAGATCATTGCTGGACGGCGAGACGTAACGCAGCAGTTGATCGAGTATGTTGGGGTCACTACTGGACTGCGAGACGTAACGTAGTAGTTGACCAGGCATGGACTGGACGGCAAGACGTAAAGCGGTTGGCATACTAGGGTAGGGACACCGGACGGCGAGACGTAACACGGTGGTCCCTAGTGTTGGTGTCTGTGGATGAAGAATATAAGTAAGGAAATTCTAAAGATAAGATAGAAGTAGAGAACGCCTTTTGTCTAAGTCAAGAACTCTAATAATGTGTTTTAGTAAGGAGGTTGCTTAGGTAAAGACCTTAGGAAGTAACGACGAGACTGACCCCTTCTCACTCGCCAGGTTGGGGAAGGGTTAGCGGATGAGAATTTCGAGAAGAGGCAAGGTGATGCGAGCAGCCGCACCAACATTGACGAGATGTCAAAGAGCCCACCAAGGAGCTAGAGTTAGTTATATTTTGTTCATGATATGAGTATATACTGGAAGTTCAATGTTCAAGATGTGTAGTTTTAATGGCTAAGGATTGAGTTTGCCCACGTGTTTAGGGCATTTCTTTTGAAAAGGATTCATTTGTATTTGTTTTAAATTAATTTTTGAGGTTATTTTAAATCAACTCCGGAGCCATAGTTATTTCGATTTGGTTAACAGGATCGGGATGTTACAAGGAGAGCTTTTCTAGGGTTTTAATTTTCAAAATAAAGGAGGGTTTCTAGTGAGAGATTAGGGTTCCCTCTTCCCATTCTAGAGAGAGAAAATGGCATTCAAAGGAGGAAGAAGGAGATTGGGCTCAATTCAAGCTAGAGGATAGAAAATTTCTTCTTCTCAACGGAGATTCAAGCAACAAAGGAGGAAAATTTTCACCTCTCCATGGTTCTTTCTCTCCTTTTTGTTGTTTTCCTTTGTCTAGCTATGAATTAGCCTTCCTTTTCACTTGGGTGCTGTAGAACCTTAACTTCTACCATGTAATTGATTGTGTGGATTGAATGATTGTGTGATGGAAGTGTTTAATTTAAATATTGAGGTATTTTTCAGGGTGATTGTGCATTGTGTGTGCTTGGCAATCTATTCTGCTATTTTGACCTAGATTAGAGAGAAGCCCCCTTATGTTAAGAGGCTCAAATTGAGCCGGGTGTTCATGGGCATTTCATGCCTCCTAAGCTAGTTTAGAGAGAAGCCCCCTTATCTTAAGAGGCTCAATTTGAGATGGGTTTTCTTATGCATTCCATGCCTCCTAAACTAGTTTAGTGAGAAGCCCTCTTAACTTAAGAGGCTCAATTAGAGATGGGTTTTCTTGGGAATTTCATGCCTCCTAACTAGGTTAATTAAGGGAAAAGCTCTAAGTTTGAATTAGACACCTTGGTTAATTGTGATTATATTGTCCAAACCTTGGTTTGAGGGAGAAGGTAAGTCAACTCTCAATTGCTTCGGCCAAGTGGGCTACAAATGTAGCCTTTGATACCTACCTTGGCCTAGCAATTATGAGAATGGTTTCTAACCATTGTTGCACCTTCTACGGGTCATAATTGCCTCGTCACACACCGTTTCATTCAATCCCGAGATTCATGGTAGTTGGTTAGGGGGAAGCAACACCCGAGTGAGATCCTCTCCTATAGAATTCCCTCGATTTTCTTTACTTGGTTGTTTATTTTGTAGTTTTCTTAGTTTTAAATCCACAACTATTTTGCTAGATAACAACTTAAGAGATTGAAGTAGGGGTACATGGACCGGCCCGAGTTTGACAATTAGATACTTGCCCTATACTACACTCGTCTAGAGTTTAAAAACTTGGGCTCTAGTCGGGATTAATTCGCTGTGTAGCTTCGTGCGAGTTAAGTTTTTGGCGCCGTTGTCGGGGAACCCCGGTCCATTATTTTGAAAAGGTCGCTTAGTGTTACTCTAGCATTTTTTATCTTGCCTTTTTGTTTGTGTTTTGTGTTTCGTGTGTGTTTTGTTTACCACTCTTCGTCTTGAAGGGTGGTTTGTGCGTGTTTGATTGTCCTTTTTAGTGTTTTTGTGTTTATAGGTATTGGATCATGGATCCTTATGATTTCGCTTAGTTGTGGGGATATCCACCAACACCCAAGAGTGGTTACCCTGAAACTTCATGGGATAATTAAGAAGGGGGAAGTCAATGATCCGGATTCTAGTACCAACCTCCCTTCCAAGAAGAGCAACCATGCTCATGGGGATACCAAGAAGCTTCCCCATATCAAGAAGGTTTCCCTCCACAACTCGAGGTGAAATCCAAGTTGGAGTTGGCCATGGAGGCTTTCATGGGACAAACCTCAAGACCATGTGCCACTCTACAGCCGGACCCAAAGAACAAATTAGAGCTCATGGTGGAGTGGTTCGCCCGGGGCACCAATGAAGGGTGCTCTAGCAAGGACCTCCCAATCGCCAACCATTTTTGACTCGACCTTTCTTCGGGAATTGGAGGAGCTCCTTCGACACATGGAGAGGCTGGGAGGGCTTGTTGAGCAAGCATGTGCACAACTTGTGCACAATCACCTCCTACCATTAGAAGAAGGAAGGGAGGTCGAAGAGGCAAGCCATGAGAACTTAGGAAGAATGAACTACGGGATGGATTTCCAATCCCTCGCTCCACCCGATTAGACACTTGGCACGAGCTTGTGCAAGCTATCGCCTCTCATCATTGGAGGAGAAAGAGGAGGTTGACGGAGCGATCAGTGACAACCGTGTGGAGCAAGACGACCTCACCCCGGAGAGCTCCCATGATGAGGATGCACAAGAGGGTTGCATTGATGACTTTCACACCCTTCCCAAAAGCAACTTTGAAGACCAAGTCACGAGTGTGGAGGAGCAAGAGAATCATTTTTATGATCTTGCATTACATCTTGCCCTCCAAACCATGCTCGAGGGCATGAACGGGAAGGAGAAGGAAGAGGTTGAAGAGGAGGAAGAAAACATTGAAAAAGGGGAAGATATTTATTGTTCCCAAAAGGAGGAAAGTGGAGAAGAAAGAACGGAGGTTGAAGAAGAAGAAGAAGCAAGTGGTGTCCAAGATGAGGACGAGGTCGGGGTGGATGAAGCATCCACGAGTTACAAATGCTACCAATGCTTTCTTCCGACCTTGACGCGCTTTTGGAGAAGGACCCATTTGCGGCTTTTTTCCAAGCCAAGGCCAAACCATCGGCGATCCCTCTTGGTGGATGCGATGAAAGTCAATCAATAATGGACTACATGGTGTGGGGCAAAGAGAAAGAAGAAAAGAAGAAGAAGAGGTCTCATGGGTGGAGCCTCATGACAACTCAATTTCACGAGCCCTCAATCATGGATTCGTCCAAAGCTCGTGACTTGAGACTTCATCTCACCAACGAGAACCTCAACTTCAAGGAGGTTCTTGGGTGGACCAAAACTTGAGGAGCAACCATCTAGCTCACGACGTTAAAGAAGCGCTTGGCGGAAGGCTACCCACCCATCAACGGTTTGCATCTCTTTTCCTTTCAATAAGACGACCAATGAAGAGCTTTTGGTGGTGTTTTGCCGTCTCCTTTCTCTTCCGAATCTCACCCGGCCTCCGCTCCCAAACACCAACATTCACCACTATCCGGTAACATCGTTCTACTTCCCTATTTTACGCCATTGAGGGCAATGTCAAGCTTAAGTGTGTGTGGGTGGGGGGGGGGGGGGGGGAAGGGGGTAGTCCATTATGCATGTGTGTGTGTGTGTGTGTGTGAATGTTTGGAGTGATTTTGAATGCTTGGAGCCTAGTAGTATGCCCAAATTTTTAAAATTTGAGGGCTCCAAGCATAGCAACTACTACATTTGTATGATCGTAGTGGCAGTTGTGTTGTTTTGTTTTGCATTTCGTGAGTATTAACATGATCAATGGATGGTTTACTTAAATTTATGTGCAACCTATGATGCTGATTGAGACTTATATTAGGTTTGTGCATAGGTTCATTTCTCATATGTTTGTGAACCGATAGATGTTTTGAATCGATTACTTGCTTTTCACAATTGCCTATGCATCGAGTTTAGGGAGTTGGAACGAATGATTGAGCACCTAGGTAGCCATGTGAGACTTGTGACGTTTGTTTCATTCTTTTGTTATAGATCCCCCTTTACATGATGTGTAGCATTCACGTTGTTGCTAGCAAGGAAGATGGAGGCATAGGATTAGCCCACGACCCAAAAGTTGACCGACCCGATCATATTATTCCTTAGTCAACCCTTTTGAGCTGTGTGTCTAAGGGTCGTTCTCGTGTTAGGTAGCTCATGCTACTTGAGCTTGATTGATTTAGATAGAACGACCTTTTGCTTTCTTCGTTTCTACACCGTTATCGAGTCACCCTTGTGTTTGGAAGCTCCATTCATACCGTTTGAGCTTAGATGAGGTTCCACATGAGTGATTTGTGTATGGTTTTGCTAAGAATGTGAAGTGAGTGTGGAGGTAGGTCTTAAAAGTGAGTATTGTTCCTTAAGTTAAAAAAATGTGGCATGTGTATATAGCTCTCTATAGCCCCCAAAGAAAAGATAAAAGAAAAGCAAAAGAAAAAAAAAGAAATCAATAAGAGGGCAAATGAATGCAAGGTTTAGGAACACTTACATGTTGTTCTCCTGCCTTCTCTTGTGCTTGAAAATGAATAGCAAATGTAGAAAGAAAGATAGTTGTCAATGGGTTGGTGATTGGTTGTGTTTTGGAAGTGTGGGAAGTGTGGTTTTTGGCCGTTGTTAGTGGTCATTGTTTGTTGAGGAAGGTTTAAGATCGAAGCTAAGGAACCTTGTACTTTGGTTCTAGGTTGAAGGTGTGGAACCTCATGAAATACGTTCCACCACCCAAAAAGCCTTTTCCCCATGTCCTAAACCCTAGCTAGTCATTTGAACCTATGTTTAAGACCTTCGGACAAGCTAGCGACGAAATCCATCTTGTGAACTCTAACATTTAGAGGTTATCGTCATGGTAAAGGGACGTTAGGATTGAGCGTGAATATGCACATCTTTTGCATCAAATGGTCCTGACCCCACTGGTTGAGAGTGAGTGATTCATTCATCATGCTTTGTTCATTTCTTATACCCCGGTGAGTACCTAGGTTACTCGATCATCCATTCCTATGATGTGATCTTCATGCATGAGTGATTGTGATTGATGAGTCGGCGAAGCAGGTTATGTGTCGGTTGATAAATAATGTGAGAACTCTTCATTTGCACAACCTTAATACAGTTGAATGTTATTTGTGGTGGTTACCAAAATTACTTTGTCTTTTTTTTTTTACATAGGTCAGTGTCCAATAACCATTGTGATTCATTTGTTTTGTACCCTACGAAATGCCCCAAAAATTTTGTTGAAAAAGGAGTTGTAAGCTTACTTTTTTGTACTTGGTTTGCTTGGGGACAATCAAACGTTTAAGTGTGGGGAAGTGATTTGGGCCTAATTGTACACTTTTTATCCCCATTTATCTTTGAAGTTTGTGGCAATTGAGCTCCAAAAGGGGTGGTTTTACGCTAGATTTCTTGTGTTTCAGAGTCTAACAGGTGAAACCAACCTCGGTCAAAAGTTGGAAGAAAATGATCAAAGACCGGGCAAAGAGGAGGATTCAGCCGATGTTTACGGTCCAACATTGGAGTTCACGGTCGCCAGGACCATGAACTGGAACCAAAAACCGTGAATCACAAAGCTTCTAGAGGGGTTTTTGAGGTTACTAATGCCAAGGCAGTTGACAGTCGCTAAGGCCGTGAACTAGAACCACAAACCGTGAACCCCAGAAGTGAAGTGGTGTGTTTTGATCCAGTTCACTGAGTTCAAGGCCGCATCCTGATGTTCACGGCAGTGAACTGAGGTCTAAGACCAGGAATTGATCAACGCGACCATGAACTGAAGCTTAAAACCGTGAACAGAGCCCGATCTGGGTATAAAACGAGAAGGGAGCTGAAGGAGAGAGGAGAGCTTTTCTAGGGTTTTGATTTTCAAAATAAAGGAGGGTTTCTAGTGAGAGATTAGTGTTTCCTGTTCCCATTCTAGAGAGACAAAGTGCCATTCAAAGGAGGAAGAAGGAGATTGGGCTCAATTCAAGCTACATGATAGAAGATTTCTTCTTCTCAAGGGTGATTCAAGCAACAAGGGAGGAATATTTTCACCTATCAATGGTTCTTTCTCTCCTTTTTGTGTTTTCCTTTGCCTTGATATGAATTAGCCTTCCTCTTCACTTGGGTGTTGTAGAACCCTAACTTCTACCATGTAATTGATTGTGTGGATTGAATGATTGTGTGATGGAGGTGTTTAATTTAAACATTGAGGTATTTTTCATGGTGATTGTGTGTGCTTGGCAATCTATTGTGCTATTTTGACCTAGCTTAGAGAGAAGCCCCCTTATGTTAAGAGGCTCAAATTGAGCTGGGTGTTCTTGGGCATTTCATGCCTCCTAAGATAGTTTAAAGAGAAGCCCACTTGTCTTAAGAGGCTTGATTTGAGCTGGGTTTTCTTAGGCATTCCATGCCTCCTAAACTAGTTTAGAGAGAAGTCCCCTTAACTTAAGAGGCTCAATTAGAGATGGGTTTTCTTGGACATTCCATGCCTCCTAACTAGGTTAATTAAGGGAAAACCTCTATATTTGAATTAGACACCTGGGTTAATTGTGATTATATCATCCAAACCTTGGTATGAGGGAGAAGGTAAGTCAACCCTCAATTGCTTGGGCCAAGAGGGCTACAATTGTAGCCTTTGACACCTACCTTGGCCTAGCAATTGGGAGAATGGTTACTAACCATTGTTGCACCTCCTACGGGTCACAATTGTCTCGTCACACACTATTTCATTCAATACCATGATCGATGGTAGTTGGTTAGGGCGAAGCAACACCCGAGTGAGGTCTTCTCATATAGAATTCCCCTCAATTTTCTTTACTTGTTTGTTCATTTTGTAGTTTTCTTAGTTTTAAATCCAAAACTGTTTTGATAGATAACAACTTAAGCGATTAAAGTAGAGGTACATGGACCGGCCCGGGTTTGACAATCAAATACTTGCCCTATACTGCACCCGATTGAGTTTAACTTGGGCTCTAGTCTGGATTAATTCGCTGTATAGCTTCGTGCGAGTCAAGCTCTGGAGCTTATCACCAGAGATAATGTTCAGAAAATTCTGAACGAAAATTTTCTCACTTGGAAGCATGTGGATACCTAGTATATTACTCAGGTAGGTCGTATATGGGTCTATGAAAGAAAGAATTGAAGTATAGTGTCCTGGAATCTAGTGATCACTTTTTGACGAGGTAACATGCCATGTTTAATTGGCATCTAGTGAGGTCCACGGTTGATGAGGTAACATGCCATGTTTTAATGCTTCTGCCCAGAACCTTCACTAATGTCCATCATTAGAGAGCATGCACCTTTCTCTCTCCAACAATGTCTGGTTCATCCTTTCCGCAAAGCAATTCTGTTGTTGAGTGTCTCTAACAGTCTGATGATGGGCAATCCCTTCATCCTTGCAAAATTCATTGAACTTAGAATTATAGAACTCCGAACCATTGTTCGTGTGAAGTCTTTTGATCTTCTTTTGGTTCTGATTCTCCACCCTCGTCTTCCAATGCTTGAACTTCCTGAAGGCTTCACTTTTTGGCTACATCATAAAAACAATTGGCTACAATAGATTCAACACTTAACGAACCCAGATAATCGAAGTAGAGGTAATCCAGTGTTCCTTTTGTCTTCTTAGGAAACTTATTGCAATGTAATTTCCCAAATACACAATGATCAACTTTGCACCTTGTGCCCGCAAAGAAGATCTCAATTTGGCAAAACTTGTGTTCCCCGTTCACTCATATGATCTAGTCTCATGTGCCAAATAATGGTCGTATCTTCCTGATGAACCTAAGATGATGCAATGACATTAGAACCCGACAACACTAAACCTTGTAATGCATACAAGGTGCCAGGCTTCATGCCTTTTAGTACCTTCCTTGAACCTTTGCATATATACACGACTCCACATCTTCCCTTGAAACTGAAACCCTTGTTGTCAATAAGACTTAAAGAGGTCAGATTCTTTGTCATTTTTTGAACATGCATGACATTGTTCATGGTACAAAACAAACCATCATGTGTCTGAACCTTGATAGACCCAATTCCAAGCTCTTTGCAAACATTTCTGTCAGAACAGAAGCGTGCAATAGACAATCAAGATCAACACAAGCGAACACAAATTTAACGTGGTTCACTAACACAATGTGTGCTAGCTAATCCACGGGCAGGGGAGAACAAATTTCACTGATTTGAGGAGAGTACAGGTTACAAACCAAATTCCAGAACGAACAAACCAAACAAACTAACCTGACTGACCTTACTACAAACTAGGGAGATGAAGAGTATTTATAGAACTCTTCTCCTAATCTCAAACAGAAAACCAAACACCTTTTCCCAAACATACAAGGAAAAGGTCAAACAAAGCCCAACACAAACCCAAACAAAATAAACCCAAACACAAAACAAACCAATTCAAATTCAAGTCATATTCTAACAATTTCCACCTTGATTTGAATTCTCTCTCAAATACCAAATGTACCAGACGCAACCAAAGTTGCTAGATTTACCAGACGCAACCAAAGTTGCCAGATGTCCAGATGTGATCAAAATCACCAAACTCAAACGCGATGCAAATCGCCAAACTCAAATTCAACCAAAATTTTCAGACACCAAACTCTTCAAATCTCTGAATTTGCCAGAACCTCCCCTGCCACCAAATGCCCCTAGGGCGTTTAACAAATCAAAACATGCAACAAGTTCAACACATGTTGTAACTTGCCATCCAAAACTAGCTTGGTGTTATTTCCGTCCATAACACCAATATCAAATTTACCTTTAACTCCAAACATGCAACTCCAAACTGACTTCTCAATCTTTATACTGATAACAGCCATTCTTACTATCAAACAAAGTCCAACCAAACTTCTCACCAAACAAACAAACGAGACCAAATCCAAATCTCCACCAAAAGCAAATAATGGCCACTGCCAACCCAAAATCCAACAAAAGCTTCAGCTGCTTGCTTCTTGGTGGGTGCGGCAGAATTGTGATGATTATCACAATAAATCCACCGCCAAATAGACCGCCACAATTAACCAAACGGAGAAAGTTAATTGTGCAACGAGACAAAAACTTAATTGTGCCACGATCACACGAAGCTTTCTTGGATGTTTGTGCTTGCGGTCTCCGGAATGGAATTGCAAGGTTTGCAATTTACCCCCTCGCAGTCAGATATGTAACCAGAAGCTCCGGTTCAAAATAGTACGCAATTCCTTGAAACTCAACCAGGCTCTGATACCACTTGTCAGAACAAAAGCGTGCAATCGACAATCAAGATCAACACAAGGGAACACAAATTTAACGTGGTTCACTAAGACAATGTGTGCTAGCTAATCCACGGGTAGGGGAAAACAAATTTCACTGATTTGAGGAGAGTACAAGTTACAAACCAAATTCCAGAACAAACAAACCAAACAAACTAACCTGACTGACCTCAGTACAAACTAGGGTGGTGAAGAGTATTTATAGAACTCTTCTCCTAATCCCAAACAGAAAACCAAACACCTTTTCCCAAACATACAAGGAAAAGGTCAAATAAAGCCCAAACACAAACCCAAACAAAATAGACCCAAACACAAAACAAACCAATTCAAATTCAAGTCATATTCTAACAATTTCCATTGACAATAACCACATTGCCACCATGCCAGCATCCATTTGCTCGTAGGTTGAAGAAAAAAAACCTTGTTTAGATACATATCATATGAGGTTTAAGTATCGAGAAACCACATATCACCATGATGTGCCTTCTTATCTACAGCCAAGCAAGATCATCTTCGGAATTGTTGTCCACTTCTGCCACGACAACTGAGCCGTGATTCTTTTGTTTCCCTTTTATTTTGGGACAGTTGTATTTCCAATGTAACACTTCTTTATAGATGTAATAGGCATCTCTTGAATGTGGATTGTAAACCTTAGAATTTGAATTCTCTTTCCTATATTTCTTCTTTCCCTTTCCACCTGTAATAGCCAACCCCGATGCTTCACCGCCTATACTAGACCTTGATGCCTTAAGCATGATCTCTCTCATATGAAGAGCATATCTGACATCTTCTAATGACTAGCTATCATTACCAGCAATAAAGGAATCCACAAAATTCTCATATGAACTCGGCAAAGAAACAAACAGGATTAGGGAAGCATCTTCGTCATCAACTTTAACATGTATGTTACACAAATCTAACAATATGGAATTAAGTTGTCTATTTATTTTTTTGTTTTCTTTATTCTTTCATGAGAACATACACGTGCACATATTTATTATATGTATAATTTATAATTATCTTTATTTGTGACTCTAACATAATCGATACTTATCCGATCGATCGATATTCCGGTTTTGCTGGAGATTGTATCGAAATGCTCAATTTTAATCGTGTATATTCTGAAACACCAAAATGTGGGTTTTGTCGGAGCGGGAGATTATACTTCATTTAACTTCATTAAGTTTGACGCTTGACATGGACTGCCTCCCATGGAGCGCTCTCTCTTTTATGCCTTTGAGCTAGGCTCAACTAGGTTCCCTTTTTAGTTGATTTCACAATCATGCGTACTTCATCTTCATCAGCCATCTCGTTGAAAGAATATGAACGTAGTTCAATTCATTAGGTTGATGAGGATTGATGAACTCCTGATGCTCCTCTCTTGCCTCATATTCTAGTTCCTCTATCTTCTCAAGCATCATCTTTTCCCTTGTACTGGCTATTCTGAGTGCCATTTGAGCTTCTTTTAAACTAGGAATTAGGGGAACCTTGTTCAACTTTCCTTCATACTTTGGATCAAGATCATGGTGATGAACTATTATGATTTCCAAATCCTCAAACTGAGAGCCAAATCGAAATATGGTCTCATCATCCGGATCCTCCTCTAGATACTCCTCAAGGTCTTCACTTCTGGTGATTGGTTTCTCTACTTTTAGTAAGAGCTTGCCCACATGTACGGTTAATTCTTCCTTAACAACATCAATTCTTGCTCCAGTAGTGGCAATGAACGATATTCCAAAGAGGGTTGAATATTCTTTGCTTGTCTGCATGTTAATCACGAGGTATTCGGATAATAAAATGAACTGCCCAACATGGGTGCTTAGGCCTCAAACAATTCCAAGAGCTTTTCAAAGGGTGTTTTTGGCTAGTGTGATTTCTACGGTTACGTACTCCATGTTTGCTTGTCTCTTCTCTTCATATTTATATAGTGGCAGTCTAATGACAATTGAGCCAAGCTCTACCAGATCTTTCTCCACATGATGGTCTTCTACAAGACATTTGATAACGATGTGCCTATGATCATTCTTTGCTTCATAGACCAGTTCCCCAAGGGGTTTTCTTGAAGGTCCTCCATCGAAAGCATATTCTCCAATATGGGCACTGTCACTTCTGCTCCAAAAAATTCTATCAAATTTTTGAAGAGGGATGGATACTTAGCTTCCTTCTTCCTTTTTATGATCGGGAAACTTTTGGCTGCTCTCTTCCTTGTCGAATGACTTTGACTTCCTCCTTCTTTGGATGATTTTCTGTGTTGCTTGAGAGGTTGCTTTCAGGCTTTTGCGGTTGGCCATCGATGAGGAATACAAGTTCTCTTTCAATATTCTAGTAGCTCATTTGCAGTCATGTCACTGTTGTCTCTAGCTTCTCGAATCTGGTGGTTTGCGGATTGGAGACACCTTCCCCTTTCCCCTTGTATTGAGGTTGACTTCCAAACTCAGGTGGACCTGCCTTCTTTTGCCATTGTACCTTATGAACATATTGTGCATTGGTAGAGGTGATATTGGTGGTTCTCGAGCTTCTTTCCTCCTGAAGAAGGCCATTGACATACTTTATGCGAGCTTGGTTGAATCTTTGATAAGGAGGATAACTTCCTTGTTGTGGTCTCGATTGATATTTGATAGCCTTGATTTACGTAATTGACATAAGAATGTCATTGCCCTTCTTGGCTATAGCAGTGAATCCTTCATGGACTTCTTCTCCACATGCTTAACAAATGAACAAGGGTGTAAACGGTCCATTCTTTGGCTCCAATGAAGTTCTTCATAATTGTTGGGTCAGCTTCTTCATGTATGCACAGAGGGTGGCGGCATCATGCTCCCTTCCTTGAGAATATTTCAATGGTTTAATAGTTGATGGATGCTTGGACTAGTTCTTTGATTTTCTTGCTAATGTCTTAAAATGCTATTGACATTGTACTCCCATCATTGTTGCTAAATCTCCATCGGCCGACTGGTTTACCATCATTGTGGTGTCTCGATAAAGGCCTTTTGTGAATTACTTAGCAATCTGCTCTGGCATAAATCAATGATGCGGCATGTTTTTATATACTCCTGGAATCTCCTATAGGAATCGTAGAAAGTCTCTCCCTTTTCTGTTGAGATTGAGTAATCCTATATTTAGGCTCTCCCGTCTTCCATGATTTAAAGTACTCCACGATTAAAGCTTATGCAAAAGTTTCCCATGACCATCTCTAATATTGTTTGCAAGTAGATCATCATCATTCCTTCCTCACAATATCCTAGCTTGTTGCTCCATCTGGATAAGTTGAGTTCTAATTTCTTTGTTCGTTGGTGTCGTGGGAATGCTTGAGGTGATGTTTTATGATTGATTGTGTGTTTTATTTTCGTCATGAACTAAACCCCAATTTCCCCAATTTCTGGGGGAAACACCATAGGATGTAGCTATTTCTAGACTTGATGGATTGATTCATATTTCTTTTCTTCCAATCTCTATTGCATGAAATTACTTAATGCTTTGTGTTGACTCGCCACCAATACATCGATTTGTAGTTAATTAGGTTATTAGCGACAGTGAAACCCTAATAACTGAACCTATTTCATGTGACATAGTAACTTATCGAAGCGATAGTGGATTAAATAAGGTGCTATGCGGTCTTGATTGGGATATCGGTCTTAAGGCTAAATAATTAATTCATTGAGCTACGACAGTAGGATTTGAATTGCTCCACAGAATTGATAAATTATAAGGTTGTACCAGTTCCTGAGAAACGATACCCGGATTTCCGGTTTTACTATAAGATAGGAATTGGCATTACGCTTTTGCCCTATCAAGTTTTTGGCGTCGTTGCCGGGGACTGCCATACCTTATTTTTGTTGATTTTTGTGAGTGAAATATTTTGATCTGGGTGTTAGTGTGCAGGTGAATTTTTCAGGTTTATCCTCCTCGTGCATGCCAAGGAGGACGGCTGGCAATTTACTGCCACTAGATCCGGAGATCGAAAAGACCTGCCGACTGAACATGAAGCAGGTCAAGTTAGGGAAGCAGCCAACCACAACTCCTAGGCCTTCCCTAAACCAGAGAGGGTGGGCTTCATCACCTGTCATCCCTACACCACCACCACCGCGCGACATCGAGCCTGTCATCATGGCAGACCAGGATCGTTCGATCAAGGCTCGCTTGAATCGAAGGACTGGAGCTCGAGCTTCATGTGTTGTCATTCCGGCTGGGGATGCAACCATGGAAATTACCCCAGCATTCATCAATATGATCACCAATGGGTATACTTTCTCAGGGGCTAGTACTGAGGATCCTCATGAACATCTTCGCCGGTTCGCGAGCATTTGTGATACGATGAAGAGCCCGACTGTGTCTGATGATGCAATTCGTCTTCGGATGTTCTCATTTTCTCTGCTAGAGAATGCATCACACTGGTTCCAGAACCTAACACCCTGTTCCATCACGACATGGGGTCAGCTTGAGAAGACCTTTTTGGATAAGTACTTTCTTCCTGCCAAGGCAATGAAGAGGCAAGAGGAAATTGTTACTTTTAAACAAGCTGAAGACAAGATTCTGACCGAGGCATGGGAGCGCTATAAGGGGCTTTTAATGAGATGTCCAAGCCATGGTCTTGAGGAATTGAACGTGATCTCTATTTTCTTTAACGGAATCAGAAGACAATTCCGAGATGCTCTGAATAATGCTTCCCGAAATGGTTTCACAAGGATGGAAGCACTAGAAGCATATGAACTGGTGGAGAAGATATGTTCTGAAGATACTGAATGGGGTAGTGAGACCAGCATTCGAAGGAGAGGAGGCTTGCATGAGATAGACAGAGTTGCAAGTTTAGAAGCAAAGATTTATGCTAAGCTGGATTCCAAGTTCGATGCACTCGAACGAAGGCTGGCTAAGATGGCTCTTGGTAGACAAGAGGAGGTTGTTTTTTTGCGAATTATGTGAAGGTGCTCATCATAGGGATTTATGTCCACTGGGAGCTACTCAGTTGGAAGATGTCCACTATCAACAATCAGCGAAATCAAGGCCAGGGAGGTATGTATTCAAATACCTACAACCCGCAATGGAGGAAGCATCCTAACTTTTCCTGGGCAAACAACAACCCAACTGGTGCTCGCAACATTCCACCTCCAAGGCTGCAGCAACAACAACCTCAACCAGAGAAGAAACCACAACTTGAAGAATTGCTTCTGGCTCACATGCAGAAAACTGACAATAATCGGAAGGGCCTGGATCAATTTGTCACTCAACAGCTAGCCATCAACAATAATTTACAATCGTCTATGCTAGCTATGGAGAGGCAGATTGGACAGATGGCTCAAACTTTGGCGGATATGCAAGGCAGGATTCTGGGGACTTTACCGACAAATACCGAGAGGAATCCGAAGGACGCCATGTTTGTAGCTGTCACATTGAGGAGTGGAAAGGCCTTGGAGGATCCAGAGAGTTCGAGGAAGTCAACAAAATCAGAAAAAGAAGGAGTTGAAGAGATAGAGGATGAAGAAAGTGCAAAAACTGAAAAATCTGACTTGCACAGGCAAACTGCATGCAATCTGCCTGTGCATGAGCATTCTGCCTGTGCACCTCAAAAAGTGGAAAAATTGAAGAAGGAAGAGGTAAAGCCTTATGAACCTCCCTCACCCTTCCCTCAGAGGTTAATGAAGCCCATGGAAGACCCAAACTTCAAGAAATTTGTGAATATCTTCAAGCAACTTCATATCAACATACCGTTGGCGAAGGCACTTGAACAGATGCCTACATATGCTAAATTCTTAAGGGAGTTGCTGGCAAAGAAGCGCAAATGGGCTGATCTGGAGAAGGTAACCCTTACTTCTGAATGTAGTGCTGTGATTCAGAATAAATTACCAAAAAAGAGGGATGATCCGGGCAGCTTCACCATTCCATGTGTCCTTGGAGGTACAGAGTTCGATAAACCACTTTGTGATCTTGGAGCAGGAATTAATTTGATGCCATACTCAGTCTACAAGAAATTGGGATTGGGAGATGTTCTTAAGCCTACTCGGATCACTCTCCAATTGGCCGATCGATCAGTGAAAATTCCAAAGGGAGTGGTGGAGAATGTATTGGTGAAGGTGGGGAAGTTTATTCTTCCTACAGATTTTGTTATTCTGGAGATGGAAGAAGACCAAGGAGTGCCTCTAATTCTCGGCAGACCTTTTCTAGCCACTGGCGATGCACTCATCGATGTCGGGAGAGGCAAGTTAACATTCCGAGTAGGTAACGAGGAGGAAATTTTTAATGTCTTTCAAGTTGACCATAATCACGATGATGACTTTGAAAGTGGAGCTCGAGAAAGGAAAAATTCCTCTTCTTGTGATAGTGGACCACCCGAAGAACTATCACATGTCCTATCTGCTCAGATTCTGAAATCTAAGCAACGACAGAAACCCTTGCCAGATCACCTCAAGTATAGATATTTGGGTAAGGATTTCAATCTTCCTGTTATTATTCCTTCTTCACTGACATTGAAATAAGAAGAGTACTTGCTTGAGGCACTGCAATACTACCTACGCCTCACTAAAGGATCCAACATGCCAGCTAAGAAGGTCATACCCAATTTTCGCACACCTGGCCTTGCAGAGGTGACTCATATGTTGGATGGAGGTTATGCGTTCTATCATTGCTCGGGAGGGTATTCCGGATACCTTTCCATACCCATTGGTTGAAAGCTCCATGAACGTTAGGCTGAGGACGTTAAACAAGCGCTTCTTGGGAGGCAACCCAAGGTGAGTTTTATTTTCTTTATTTTTTCTTTTTGTTGTGTCAAACCCGTGCATGTTTAGATTAGGAGTTGAACATTAGGGACAATGTTCCATCCTGAGTGTGGGGTGGTGAGTCGTAGTGTTGTTTGTCCCTGTTGCATGTGGTAAAAAAAACTGTCATTTGGCTATGCACAGCCAAACTGCATGCAGTCTATCTGTGATGGTTCAGTCTGCCTGTGCTAACCTAATGGCTAAAAAACACCTAAAATCAGAAAAATTAAAAAAAAATCTTGTACTCTTGGGGTAACATGATGTAAATGACCGTGATGCCTTGAAAATGAGTTTGTGCTTGAATGAAATCATCAAAATCACCCCACTAGTGTTGAATTGTATAGTTCTTCACAATAAGCTTGATGTTTTGATTGACTTGATGTGCTTTAAATGAGCAAACTCTTTTAGCAACACTCTATTTTGTGAGGGTAGTGTAATGACTTTGGTGAAGTAGTTAGGTGGAGAACATTGACCATTCGACATGTTTGGATACCGTGCATACTTGCATCAGTTGTGAGCTTTTGATTTTGCAATGAGTCTCTCTGTTTTAAAAGGTTTTATGATGGGGTGAACTGTATCTTTATAAAAGAAAAATATCCTACCTGACAAGTAAAATATAAGAATGTTTTCATAACAATTAAAGTGTGGGTAATATACCAAAATCATGTGAGGCAATCACTCATTGCACATGGGGATTAGTAAAGATTCAATTGAGAATCGGTTCGCGACCATACGATGTTGTTTATCAAGTGCGATCCCTCATTGAGTGAAGTGCCGTTTGAGGATGTGCATTGACCCTCCACACGGACCGAGGAAAAGGAGTTGAAAGAAGCCCTTATGCGAGTGCTAAGAAGCAGAAATTGCTCTTGCTCGGTCACCGGTAGTAAGAAACAAATCCCACTTGTACTAAATACGACCACTCGGCAAGCAAAATCAGAAAGAGAGAACGCCTCTCCTTGTCATAAAAGGTAGTGATGTGCTTAAAGTTAAAATCATGTTTGCGAAAGGCTTACCCCATTAGTTTTTGAGACTCATGCTTTGTTAATTGCTCATGATTGGTGTGAGTAAGCCAGATTGTCCTCACGAGATATGCACCTCACTGATGTGGTTAGATTCTTCTAATAATTGTTGCACCATAAGTTGTTAATCACCCACTACCGACGATCGGAATTGAGTGTTGCTATTTGAGTTTTTTGTGGATTGGATTCAGTCAATGTTAAATGGTTGCAAAGACCTTGAGTGTGGGGTGAAAGGTATGATCATTAAAG